TCTACATTGGGAACAATTTTTAGGGACATTTCTTTATATAAGGAAGATCTTTTGACTTTAACTCTTGAATATAAAGACTTACTTAATTTATAAATCGATTTGGTAAGTAAGCTATACAAAAACATAGAGTCAAGCTCAGGCTGAGCTTAGTAAACTTTGAGTTTTTAAACCTGAAGATAGCTAACCTCTGGTTAAATATGGTTTGGAAATATGTAACCACGGGTTAGGACATTTCCAAAAGTTAACAACTTCGATTAAGACATAATCAAGTTCGAGTTAAGAAAATCAGTAATCTCAGGCTTAAATTCTGAGCAAGATTCAAAAAAGTGAAAGATATTAAACCTGAAGATAGCTAACCTTGGGTTAAAATTAATCTGGCTCTATTTAAAAAAAAAACCCAGGCTATGTTTATAAATACCTAACCTAAAGTTAGGATATTTCAAAAAGTTAACCAGTTCGATTTCCACACTATAAAGTGCAAATTAAGAATGTTTATTTATTGCTTAATCACGTTAAAGTTAAGAAAAACTGTGATCAAATTTGTTATAAAAACCTCCTAATAATCCTTTCTAAAACTTAACAATTTCGCTTTTCCAACCCTCAAACCCTCCGTTGAGTGCAAACAGATTGAATTGGTTTTGTTTTTAAGTTCTCCGCTGGCCTTTTTCCGGTATTTAACAGCTGCTGACACTATATAAGAAGTCTTTTTGGCTTATTACTGTCAATCTCCGAAATTCTCGGGGTCGGTGGCAAAAGTGGGTGGAGGAATGCATTTCCATTTGGCTTGCTTTCGGCTTTCGGCTTTATGTTTTCTTTTATTCTGTGTCTGTTTCTCCTCCACTTTGGCACATAGAAAAAAATAAGACTGAACTGCAGGCCCACGCAGCAAATAAATAAAATTTCTGTATCTGCAAGATGACGACACATGACGCACACACACACAGAACACACAGAATAAATCGGGCGAAAAAAAAAAAAGAAAGAACGATAAGTAAGGGGAGAGCGCCTAAGTTCACTCAATTACTGGAGGAAGTGCAGAATTCAACGACTTCTAAAAAGCGATACAAGATAAATGTGTACATAAATTGTGTGTACATGTAGTCGAAATACAAGATATATATTCCATACAAGATATACACATATGTATATATATAGATCAGAGCCAGAGAGTAGAGCGTTCGGATTATTGATTACTGATTTATGAATAGCCTTGTGATTCAATTCCAGGAACTGCACTCGGACTTGTGGTAAACATATGATTCGATTCAATGTTGTGCCTTACTGAGTTAAAACTAGAGAAAGGAATGTTATATAGCGGCAAAAGCTTCTTAAATTATATATTTTTATAGCTGGACATTTGATTGAAATGACCTTGAATCATCCCATTATTCGAAGTACTATTAAACCATTTAGAATTCTTCACAACCAAGATATTGGCCTATATATATAGTATATACTTGATATTCTAAGGGGACAGCGTAACGATATTTATTCAACCTGCATTCATTATCTTGCTTTTTCCTTCAGCAAACACTTTCGCTTTCCTACGCCTTATTATTATTTTCTTGTTCAAATGAAGGGAGCACTCCCTTAAATACATATATGTCTCATAAATTATTTAAGGCTTATAATTTCAGTCAAAAGGAGTCACTGTTGACCCTAGAAATCATATATATTCTTGATCAGCATCAACAGCCGAATCGTTATAGCCATGTGCGGAGGAAAAATATTTATTTAGCTAATTTTTTAAAATTTTATAAGGGGTTACATGGTTAAAATTGCTGAAAATTAACAAAAAATGAAACTAGTTAAAACCTTAAATTGAGTAGGCAGATTTTAAAAACCTTATAAAAACTAACACTAAGATGCTTACAGATTTTTTAAATTTCGAGTTTTTCCAAAAATAATCATTTAACATTGCAATATTTTCTTTATTTTATTTTATAAGGGGTTACTTCTTTAAAATTGACAAAAGGTGAAATTTCATAAACAAAAACAAAAATTAAATTCAGTAAGCATATTTTTTAACCTTATAAAAACTAACACAAACACGCTTCCGAATTGAACAGCATTTTTGGCTTAGGTATAGATACTTTAAAAATTGATATTATTATTAAAAAAAAATCCTATTTTTTTCAAAATTTAATGAAATTTGCAACATTTTTAATTTTGAAAAATTTTAATTATTAACTTTACAAAAACTAGAAAAAAAATTAAAATTAATGGATTTTTAGTAGTGATAAATTTAAGATTGCAAACTGAAGTAAGGTATTTTCTTTTTAAACAGGCTTATAAAGAATGTTATTGTTTTTAAAAAGCTACAAAATATTTTTAAAAATTTTCCTTAAGCTGGAATTTACCCCAAAATTTGTTCATGGTCAGTTTTATTATTATTATTATTATGCGTCCTGTCATAAATTCAGGATTAAAACGGCAATCACTTGCACTTGTTCGCTCTTCATAATTCTCAAGAAAACAGAGAAAAAGAGTGTGGCGGAGAGCGAAAACACACACGTATATATATATGACGTGTGTGTATATACATATATACACGCACCTGACTCATTAGCATAACCTGTTGAACGTGTTGGCGGGGCAGGCCGAAGAGCGGGGGGAACGTAAGAGGAAGAGGGAGTGGCAACGGCGCCGCCGCCGCCGCCTTCATTCGTTTTTCATTTATACTTTTTTTTTCATTTTGCACGCAGCTTCTTCTTGTTTATATTCTGATTTAGCGTGCGTATTAATCAAAAGTGTTTCACAACAGCAAATTTTCTCCTTGGAAAACTATTTCCTTTTCACACAAAATAAATGTAAAAAGAAATATAGTATTCAAGGCGGTTCATTGCTCGCTGAGAAAAATGTAAACAATCAAGTTCATTTCTGAAATGAATTTCCAGAAATTCATTTTATATTCATACATTTTATTGCTTTCTTAAAACACAGAAAACATTAAAGAAAATCTTTTGAAATATTCTTCTAAGCTACAATTATCGTTTTTGAGACTCTTTCGTTATCAGAAAATTCCTGCTCTTAAGTGCATTATCAATCACAAGAAAGGAAACCGAATGTCACAATGAAAACACTTGCTCTGATGGCGGTTCATTCCTCCAGACTACTAAGTCAACAATGGCCACTAACTAAACCCGACGAGGCTTGGAGTGAGCGTACTTTACGCACTCACTGTTCCTACTCCTCCTCCTCCTCCTCACTTTTCCAGCTTCTGTTTTCTGGACTTTGCTTTGTTCTATCCGCTTGCCTTGGTGCGTTTTATTTGAGTTTACTTTTGCAGTTAGCTGCCAAAAGCTTCCACATCTGCTGGAAATGTGTAGACTGTACAGTGATACCTCAGCATTGTAGATCACTTTAAAATTGTGACTTGTTATTGAAATAATCTAAAAATTATTACAAGTATAGTTTAATAATCAATTGTGTGATTTCTAATCATCTAATCATCAAGGTTTTTGTGGCCTATGTATCTTTTCCTTGAACTTATTAAATTTTAAAATCATAAAATTATTAAAATGTACTAGAAAAGCTTTAAATACCTAAATTTGTAACATTAGCTTTAATAAAACAAATTGTTAACGCAATAAATCACACTAAATAAATAATAAAAGAATAGAGTAATCATAAACAAATTGCGGTCTGAACACTGATAAATTAACTACCGTTGATTTCTAATCAATAGCGTAGAAGACAACGTAAACCTTTAGTGATTTATAAGAAAGTGGTGCTTAGTAATCAGTCACTCAATAAAAATATAACAATCAGGAAATCAATTAATTTAACTATGATTTCATTGATTATGTTTAGCATTTCTACTTATTGAAGTAAAACTTTAAGAAAACTCAAATGTTTGTGATTCACAGTTATAATATAATAAGGAAATATCTCTCAGATCAATATTATTCATCGATTGGTATTGCTGAATGCACCCATTTCCCTTTTATTGCAACATCACCGTTTACTTGTAATAATCAGATACCATTATTTATTGAGTGATTTGCCATAAGTGACAATAACTGCTGCTGAACACGACCATTTTTCATGATTTGCCATTAATCACTGCAATTAACGCCTGAAATGGTTCAAACGCTGAAAATGCAGACACTTGCCCAACATTTTCTTGTCAAATGCAATTTCAATATATTCAAAAACCAAGCTCGATTTTTTTCAAAGTACTTTTCGCATAAATGCTAATTTCACTAAAAAAATGTTGCTGACATGCTACAGGTTTTCGCTAATTAGAAGAGCGGGAGACATCTGGTTTTTGAGACCAGTGACCACTGTACCAAACCCATAACAATGTGACATGTTTCAGTGTGATCTTTGTATATACAAACATTTGTTTTGTTTGTTTTTTTTTTTTTTAAAATGCATTACAAGATAAGCCCAAAGACTTTCAGATTTTATACTAGCTGCAGCTTTGATTCGACGAGTTTCTGCAAAGATATGAAGGGACTTTGGTCGAAGCTCGCTGCATCGAAAATTCTGGAAACTAAAATAGGCTATCTCAAGCTTTTTTTTTAGCCATTTTGCCAAGTCAAACATTTGTCTAAAACTGGAGTCTTAAAGGAAAAGCTAAAGCTTAAGACTTTTCGGTTAAATCCCATTTTTAGCTCACAAAAGAAGGGGTTAGTAAGCTCTATTATGGCCTAAAACGAGCTTAGTGTGTTTTTTTTTTTTTTTTATAGAGAAACTAGATTTTTTACTTCTTTTGATTTACTAAAAGGAACCTAGAATCTGTTAAAATCAGAATCACAATTTTAGATAAGTCCCAACAAATCGAATTGTTTCCAATCACATTTTCCCGACACTTCCAATGCAATAATCCCGTGCAGGCCTCAAAAAGTGGTAGAACTTTTTTATAAACAGCTTTTTCGGCCCTGACAGAATATCGAGTCGATGACCAATTAACTAATGTCTAAAACCGCTTTTTCTATGCTTGCGTTTGCATTTGTATTTGTGGGGTGGTGATTCAGGCCGACGACGAAACTTACCGTTTTGTTTAGCTGGAAGTCACAGATGGCCTTGAGATGGGTGCAGGCGCAGTGGCTGCATAGGTTCTCCTGGTTGACGGGCTGCTGCTGCTGCTGCTGCTGCTGGACAGCGGCGCCGGCCGCGGAGCTGGAATGGGGGTGATGGCCAGACAGGAAATCCTGGCCTCCGGAGGAGGTCTGCGCATAGCCGGGTAGGCGGTTGTAAAGGTTCACATATGCAAATATCGACTGGAACCGCAGGAGCCAAAGGATCACAGTTAGGCATAGGATTTGCATCTTCGACGTCGGCGTCATAACTATTCTTGTCTTATCTCTCTCCCACCGATTTCCTCCTTCCCACTCCCTGTTCTACTTTTCAATTTCTGTGGTTGTTTTTTTTTTTATATTTTTTTTTTTTTTTTCTCAATTACATTGACAATTAAACTGCAATGCTCTCAGGCACTCCTCACTGTGTTTATCGCGCTCTCTTTTTTCCCCGGCAGCGATATTTTAAGAGACGGCACTAAAATACATATTAATGCTGTTCATCGTCACTCACTGAATTTTTTAGAGAAAAAAATAAAATAAAGCACAAAACACTAAGAAAAAGAACAACAAAAAAGACGGCGTCGCGAGTCTCGGATTGTCGGATTGTATATAAATAATAATATAGTAAGCCCCGCACACGGTCAACGTTGCGATCTCGAAGGCGGTTCGTTAACGAATACGGTAGATATATAGTTGCCGATCGTTGGAAAACAAGAGAGCATTACCCGCTCCACGTTCCACTGTTCCGACGTTCCACTTCCCCGTTCCATTTTCCTCTCTCACTGGATTAGTCAGCGAACGCTCTCTACACTGCACCGATCGCAGGGATGGTCATTTATCTATCACTTGGCATGCATTTTATATGAAACTTTGCTGAAGGCTTGTTTTAATATCCTTGCGGGGACAGGAAGTAATTTTCGACCTTATAAATCATAAATATTCTTGATCAGCAGTCTGCAAGAAAAAAAAGAATTTTACAACAATTTAATAAGGGGTTACATTGCTAAAATTGTCAAAAATTTGAAATTTGTATTATAAAAACACTTAAATTTAGTATGCAGATTGATAAATCTTAAAAAAATCAAAACAAAAACACTTTTCTAATTGCATTTAATGTAATTCTAGCTTAGTTATTGATTTTTTAAATAAATAAATAAATTATCAAACTAAATTTCAAATATTTATTTGTTTTTAATTTTATAAATACCTATACCTCGATTCTGTTCAGTGCACTCCTGGCGGCTCTCATTCTCTCAGCGGCCTCACAGCTGATCTCAGGGGCTGCTCAGCAGGGCTTTCCGATAAATTAAATCAGCTGAACCGCTTTTTATTTCATTCCAAACTAAGGGGCCCATCATATATACATTGGTATGTAAAATGCAGAAGAGCCCGAAGACGATAAACCAACGACGGCGGAATAACAAGAACAGATCAAATCCACTTTGAGTCGCCCTTTATTGTGATCTTTTGTCATCCACAGTGGAGACGGGGTCTTAACAAATTGTACTAGTTCTTTTACGAAACGCTTAACTTCCTATCCAAAATGCCTACGAAAACTTTCAGTTCATAATAAAAAAAAATCTGTTACACTATCTAATAGGGAAATTTGGAAAATATCCTCACAGGATCACCTAATTTTTGATTAATTCATAATTTTATATGATCATTTTTGGGGAAATTAAAGCTTAAAAATATCATAAAAATAAATAAAAAAGCTGTTTTGTGCTACGTTTTTTCTAGTTGACATTTTTTATTCATTTTTGAACATTTTAACGATGCAATTAGAATTTGTAAAAAATTTGTAAAATATTTGTTTTCCCCAAACATGGCTAGTAAGACTCTCCTGTTTATGCTGATCAATAATATATGTGATTTATATGATTTATAGGGTCGAAAATGACTCCTTCACTGCCTACTGCCTACCCACCTACGTACATATACATACATGATAAGTGCGTTTAGAAGTTTAAGTTAAATTTGTTTGTCTTATATTGGGCTATATGTATAAACTTAAATTTGAACTCAAAGTAAAATTCCTAAACGGTGAGATTATTTAACAATAGATTTAACAATTGTTGGCGAACTAACGATCTTCCGATAAGCCGCTGCATTCGACAAATGTACAAATGCGTTTTGCCATACTGAATTTAAACATAGTACAGTTGCGGTCACAATAAATGCACCGAAAAAAATATTTATTGTTAGGTTATTAAGACAAATTTAAAATAGATAAGAACTTATGATGATTAGGATTGTAATTCAATGAAATTGAGATATAATAAATATTTTTAGATTGAGTTTTGGTTGAAGTAATGCACCATATTTTTATGTCCGCAACTGTCAATCGTCTGCTAAATGTTAGTTTATAGTAGGATGTGTGTATGTGTCCCATTGTATGTGCCTTCACGTTCGTTCAGAGCTTCTGCCATTCTCCAGAGCGAGATGGCTTGCTTTTAATTGGCTCGCGAGGGGTTAGGTGGGGAGGTTGGTAAATTTAATTGATGCCATTACCCCCTAGCCTCCCTTTCCACAGTCCCCTTTCAATTTTCCACCCCCTCCCGCACATTGCAACAAATCAATTTGCGTTCAATTTGGAGGCAAAGCGGAAGTTGCACCGCTCCAGTCCGGGGAGAGAGAGAGAGAGAGAGTAAGAAGGGCAGGGACACGCATAGCTAGAGAGAGAGGGAGTAAGAGGAAGAGATGCGGGCTCACTAAATTATTACGTCGTTGGTGGATCGGTGATTTCTATCTATAAGTCCGGATCTTCTCCCTCCAGACTCCCCCCCTTCAAAAAATCGATACGAAAATGGGTGTCAATGGCTCACTACTGCTTTTGAATTGTATTGTATATGGGGGTGCGTCACGGAATCTCTGGGGATTTCATAATAAATTCACTTACGAATTTATTTGAGGGTCATAAAATAATTATATAATAAACCATAGAATATTTATATCTTTAAGAGCTTTTGTTGTAGAGAACTTGAAATTGTATAATGACTGAAAATGTCAAAATATGATCCAGTTATATAATATTCAGAAAATAAAATAAAAATGTATATGTATATGTATATATTTCCCACAATTATTGTAACAAATCCTAGTTCCTTTCCAATTGCAGCTCTCAAAGATCTTTTCAAGCTCGAAAAGTAGATTTCTGTTTCAATTCGAAAATCGATCAATCGTGGTGAAATAAGAACGGATTGAATATTGATATTTTTATTGCTATCATATTATATTTTTAGAGTGCTTCGGTTTTTGTTTCTAGGGTTGAGTGAGCGATAAATGCATTGACATACACACACACACATACAACCAGACTTGGAGTTGACTTTGTTTGCCCTTGCCTCGCCAGCTCTCTTTCTTTCATACTATCTCTTCGGCTTTCTATCTCTCTCTCTCTCCCTTTACCCCCGCTCCCCCCTTTTTTTTGTTTCTTTTTTTTTTTTTTTTATCCCCTTGGCCAAGGCAACTCTTCCGCATTTTGTGCCTCGATAAAAATGAATTGAATGAATGAATGAACGATTACATTGCCGCAATAGGGAATACACACTTACTGGCCTCTCTCTCCCTCAAACCTACCCATCTCGCTCGCACTACTCCACCACAACTGGAACTCGCGACTCCGCAACTTGTTCCACTGCGCTCCACTTCCATTTCTTTGTGGAGAGTACCTACACTCAACCGAATAATATATAAGAAATGATCAAGATAAAATGCTATATGTCCTGCAAGATACGTGTGGTTAGGGGTTTTTAACTAACTTTAAATAATAAAAACTTACAATAATTATCGTAATTAAAGTAGAGGTTTTTGTTAAGCAAATATTTCGACTTATTTTCTGTACCTATTGATATATTTTAAATTTAGCTAAACTTAAGGAAACTTCCACCGTCCTGCGAAAACGACTTGAGAATTATAAGCCCATCATAAAAGATATCCGTAATCATAATATTTTTTCTTTCTTTTTTATTCAAATAAAATTTAAAGTGTATGGGGGAGTTGGAAGGGGATATAGGGTACTCCAGGGGGGGTAACGGGGTTAAATTGCAGTGGAAACGTGTTTCCCACAGGTAGCTCACGCACACGAGTCCACACATGTGGCCACAGTTGGTTGCTGCCCTTTGTTTTTATTCTTTTCTCTCTATCTCTCTATTTCTCCCTCCCCCTTTTATTACTCTCTTTCTCTCTTTTTGCCCCGATCTTCGGCTTTGTTTTGTTTTGCTTGCGCCCTGAAGTGCAGGGTCGCGCCACACGGGGAGTACTGGGGGGCTCCCGTCTGACATTATCATTTTCGTTGGAAAACTCCAAACGAATTCCTCCCTCTTTTTCATTTCCATTTTCAATTTCGTTTGTATTTACTTTTTCGGTATTGTTTTATTTGTTTTTTATGTAAATAATAATATACATAAATGTGTGTCCGCAGCTTTGTGTGTGTTTCGATTCCATTTGGTTTTCCTATCACTTTTCCGCCACATTTCCGAATTTCCCGCTAATGCAAACCCTCAATTTCCCCCAAAATAATGAAGAATATTGTCACGAACCGTGTTGGTGGGTCACCTGTTGTTGGTAGAATTCCCATTTTTCCTATTATTTCTTACTTGTAACTAGGATTTCCGTTATTGAAAAGTGTTGAGCATTCATTAGTTTTACTTTTCCAAGTTTAACTTGCATTCATTCATTTAAGCTTATCAAATTTTTAGATAGAACATCAGTAGATACCTTTGGTATTACGGATCAAATACAATATACATACATATGTACATATGTATTCCGACTTACGCCCGTTATCAGTAATAGCAAAATCATACCACTTTATCGCCCGATGTTATTGTTTTGGGATCTGGGTTTCATTACGATCTTTTCTTTTCTCACGCGTCGCTACATGCGCGTGCGTGTTCGTTTGTCCGTGAGTCCGTTTAGTCACATACTCACACACACGTGCACCGCCCGCTGCGCCGGTACGTGCCCTTCGCCCCTCTTACCACTTATCATTTGGCTTTCCTTTCCTTATTTCCCTTTTCTCTACTCCTCTACCTCCTTGTTCTTTGGTCCCTACGTGCCCCTCGCCTTCCGCTGACCCCGGGCGGTCCATCTTTGATGCAGCGATTCTAATTGGATCGAGAGAGTAAGGTCAGAGAGAGAACCGATCGAATTGGGATAATACGTAATGAGAATGGAATGATGGAATGACCCAAGGTTCTACCTGTTGATGGCATGACCTTAAGACCCCCAAGGAGAATTTTCAATGGGGAATATTCCAATACATGCATACCAATATAATAATACATATATTTTTTTATTTAGATGAAAGCTTATCGCACTTGGTCTAATCTCTTCCAAATCGTATTATTCCAGATCTCAGTCAAATGAACGACAATTCCTCAAGGACTTTATCAGCGGAGCACCGGGATCGTCGGGCGCCCGCTTGGCGGCCTGGTTGCAGCCGGAGTCGCGGTTGGATCCCAATAAGTATGTACTTAATCTTTTAATATATTTAACATAAATATGACAACAAAAGAAAGCTAACTTTGGCAAACCGAAGTTTTCATAAAATTAAAACCGAATTGCTCGACTTATAAAAAATGTCTAAATCTTATAGATGTGAACTGAACCCGATCACGGAACCCCTGCGCTATGGCTGGCCCTCTCAGGTGACGGTGACCATTCGGGATCAGTACGGGGATGCGGTGCTGGTACCCGAGCTCAAGGTGGAGATCAAGGCGATACCTACGGGCTCAAATGGTGCAGCAGCAACTGGTTCTGGTGCCCTGACCGGTATCGCTGCCACTGGAGCCACCGGTGTTTCGTCGTCCGGCGCAAACTTGTGGATGCGACGTGCTTCTGCGGATACCTGGGGCTTTGGTGGCCTAGGACCGCCGCCGCGCCTTAATTACGAGCCCACCAGCAAGGAGAAGATGGTTTTCAAGGCCATTACCTTTATGAAACCCTTCACCAACTACTCGTTCGAGGAGCTGCGCTACGCGAGTCCAGTGCAGACGCGTATCACGGAGCTGTTGAATGCCAAGGACATGGAGGATGGTACCTTTAGTGTCCAGTGGACGCCCAGTTCGGTGGGTGCCTACTGTCTGGCTGTGACCATTGATGGCATACAGCTGGAGGAGGTCTACCGTGTGGATGTGAAGGAGGGCATCCTGCCTCCGCCCACTCAAAGGAGTAGCGCCCAGCGAAGGCCACAGGCGCCCAGTAAGCTGCGACGCTTTCAGGTAAGTTATTTTTTAACAGTTATTGCTTATTTTTTTTATATTTTGCATTGATAGGGCAGTTGTCTGACGAACATTAGGTTTGCATATTTGTCATCAGCGCTCGTTTTTGTTTATCTTTATTAATTTCATTTTATCTAGCTAATTAAGGTGAGATCTTTTCGTGAATCTTCACGTCTTACTGTCTGTTTGTCCTATGTCCGTCTCAGTGTCCATCTTGCTGTTGGTCACTCTGTCCATGATTTTATCCGTCTTTCTATCCATGCTCGTCCTTCTGTCCTCTTTGTCCGTCTTTCTGTGCGTGATTTTGTCCCTCTAAACTTTTTTCGTATAGCAACATTCGTGTGGCAACATTTTTATAGCAACATTTGTGTGGCAAAATGTGTATAAAAACGTGTCAAGAAACATTTGTGTAGCAGCATTTGTGTAGTAACATTTTTGGAGCTGCATTTGTGTAGCAACTTTTGTGTGCAACATTTTTATATCAACATTTATGTGGCAACATTTGTATAGAAACATCCTTAGATCACCATTTTCTTGTGATTTCCGCCAAGGAAGATTTAATCGACTTGGCAAATCAACATCAACCTCGAATACCCATCACCATTTCTTTACAGGCTCGCCACAGTTCCGGACTTCGGATTCGGTCACATCCCACGCTGCAGTCGGAGCAGGTGGGCGTGGTGCGCGTGGGCGGCGTGATCTCGTTTATCGACGAGATCGAGAACGATGACGGCATCTGGCTGCGCCTCTCTACAGAGTCCATTCGTCAGCACTGCACAATGGGCTGGTATCCGACGGAGGCCTGGTGCCTGCAGTTCAATCAGCATCTGGCCCGGACCCTGCTCCAGCCGGTGACCGACAAGGAGGCAAGCAGGGCATGCAAGGGAGCAGAGGATGCACAGGCCCAACGCCATGGCAGCCACGGGCACGGCCACGACCGGCCCGACCAGGAGGAGGACGAAGAGGAGGAGGAGGAGGACGAAGAGGAGGCGCCGCAGCAGCCGCTAGTCAGCCCCTCGGGCAGTGGTGAGGCAAGTCCAGACCCGGAGGCAGATCCTAGTCCGGTCTTGAGTCCAGCCAAGTCCGGCAAGCCCGGACGCTTTCTGGCCGGTACAAATCCCTTCCTGTATCCCTCCAAGCATGCAGATCTGGTGGCGCGGGAAGAGGAGCGAGAGAAGCAGCAGGAGCAGTTGCTGCTGGAGGACGACGACGACCCTGATGATGATCGGGAGCCGGAACAGGAGGCGTTGGCTGCCGTGGAGCTGCTACCTGCCAATATAGGCTCGGCCATTGCCGGCGTAGTTGGCGGTGGAGCCATCAAGCTCCAGGCTCTGCAGAAGTGGTTCAAAGGCGATGCCGTCGAAGGATCCCAGCCCTTGACACCCTCCCACTCGCCACCACTGGCGGGTGTGTCCGTCCGGGAGCTGGTGCGTGCCATGGGCGGCCAGGATTCGCCGCGCGGCAATGGCAATCGCAGCCAGCAGCAACAGGATCAGGAGCCCGAGTTCAGCCTGGCCAGCATGCGGAGGCCCAACTACTCGGCCAGCCAGACGGCGGCTTTGCTCTCCACGCCTAAGCACACGCCCAAGAAGACTGCCCTGCTCCAGACCGAGCCAAGCCAGCTGAGTGGCCTGGAAGATGACCTGAGTCTATTACAGATCACCACAACCACCACGCAGCAGGGTGAGCAGCAGAGCGAACTCCAATTGGCCACCACCTCAGCATCGGCGAAGAGAAGCGGCCTGTCCATGGGTCCCATCAAGCGGGCCATGCCGCCCTCCTTTGCCGAGAGCATTCGGGCGGTCTTTGCCGCCCTGCTGTGGCACGAGGGCGTTGTTCATGATGCCATGGCCTGCGCCAGCTTTCTGAAATTCCATCCCGGGCTGCCCAAGGAGGGTGCCACGGTGGTGACGCGTCGCGGCGAGTCCGGCGATCCACGTCTTCAGCTATCGCGGGAGCAAAAGGCCCAGCAAAGGCACTCCGTCGAGGTGGCCAATGCGGGCAACTACCTGAACATACGCCCCTCTACCCTGGAGACGCTAACCAAGAGCGGCAACTGCTCGCTGCATAACCGGAGCAAGCATCGCAAGAATCTTATTAGTGGCGGCGGTGATGCGGATGCCTCCGCCCAGAAGCTGCAGGCTCTGCCCGAGATGGTGAGTGTCCTGCCGCCCGCATTGCGATGCCTTGTGTATCTGTGGGAGCAGATCTGCTCTGGCTGTGTTCAGATTGTGCAATCGAATGCTTTGGAGCAGCGGGAGCCACGCCTGCTCTCCCCGGGCGGACGCGATCCCAACGGTGAGGGTGAAGGCGAGCTCAAGGAGGGCGGCGGCGGTGGCAAGGCAACGGATCAGGGCACCGGTGGCGGCGACAAGGATCTCGGGAGAAAGTGTAAGCGGAAGAAGAAGGACGATGGCAGCTGGTGCGAGATCTGTGAGCTCTTCCTGCCCATGCCGGTGACCTACCACATGCGGATAGCGCATCCTGGTTGCGGCAAGTCGGCCAAGGGCAAGGGCTACAACTCGGTGGGTATTTTCTGTGAGGGATGGGCCGGCAATTGCGGCGAGGGTGGCAAGGGAGCCTCATCCTGGTTCCTCATGTGCGATCCCTGCCGGGATCGTTACCTGGCCTCCTGTCGCAGCGTCAATAACATCAATAGCGCCGCCCGCCAGCTGGAGTCCAGTGCCGCCGAAGGTGAGTTTGATTTCAATAGAAATCCAAAACTTATAACCTTACTCCTACTCTTTTCAGGCAACGAGCTGAATCTGTTTGGCGTGAAGTCTACCACCTTGATAGCCAACGCCGAGGTGTACACCACCATGCGGGAGAATGCCACATTCCTGCTGGAGCTCTGCTCCAGTTCCAGCTCTGCCTCTGCCTCTGCCTCTGCCGCTGGCACCAGCTCGAATCCCAAACGCTCGCCGCAACAGATGTCCATGGTGGCCATGCCCGTGGTGATTGAGCATCAGCACAGCTCCGACCTCAAACCCAGCACCAGTCGCTGCAGCCGGATGGCCCGTCTAAGCGGTGGCAAGTATGGTCCCAGCGCTGTGATTGGTGGAGCCTTCCGTAAGAGCTTTGTGGGTGGTCCACCGCCGCCGGTTACGCCGGAGAATGTCTGGCTGGCACCGGAGAGCTTTGCCTGCCTGGAGTGCCTGGGCACTGCTGGCCACGAGGATCTGCCCTACGAGATGTTTGGCCTGGGTCCTGGCAACGACAACAATGGCTATGATCGGGTAAGGATTGATGGGGGAAGATTTTGCTTTCAGGGGGAGTTTTTCTGACAGTTTTTTTGTTTTTGGAACAGCCTCTCTCGGAGATCTCCTATGAGTCCTGCGAGCCCAACAACTACGAGCTAATTTCGGGTTCAATGGCCACGGCAGCCGGCGGAGGAGGAGGACCTGCCACTGTGGGCGCTGGTGGCAACCTCTCGAAATTCCATCGCAGCTACTCCATGGGCCAGGGCTGGGCTGCCTTGGCCCACCACCCAACGCCACACCATCCGCCACAGCCGCAGCAGCACCATCAGCATCATCCCCAGCAGCAGCAGCAGCAGCTGCATTTGCAGCTTCAGCAGCATCACCAGCAGATGCAAGTGGGCCCAGGAACAGCCGAGGCACAGCCCAAGGTGGTGTATCGCCGGCGAAACAACTCGACCAGCGAGGGCGATGGCTCCCTGCTCATCTGCTATCCTTCTGAGCATCTGCGACGCCTGGTGCCGCACAAGCTGCTGGCCCATGTGTCCGTGCTGCAGGCGAGCGAGGGATCCGCCAGCGATCAGCCAGGCGATCAGACAGCCTCCGCTTCGGGATCGGGATCAGCTAGCCTGCTTCTGGCCCGTCCAGCCATGGCCTTCATCACGCAGAAGCACGAGCTGGACAGGCTGAGGGCGGCCATGCGCAGGAGCCTTAGGATTGCCGCCTGCCGAATCTATGCTCTGCAGGCTCTCAACTGGCTGCTGAGAAGCGTCACCCAGGGCGTGTGCCTGCACGATCTCATGTGGTGGTTTGTCAGCTCGCTACCAGTGGCTGGGAGCCACCAAAGCCACCAGCATCAGCATCATCATCATCCTCACCACCTGAGCGGCGGAGAGGAGGCGGCGGAGCCCTCGCTAGAGCACCCAGTGGCCTATACCCAGATCAGCGGGCGGTTTGCCCACCTAATCACTCAGTCTCTGCATGTCCTGCTCCAATCAGTGGCAGATCTCACGCTGCACTTGCCCTTGGGTTCGCCGCTGCAGCGGGTAGCCATCCAGTGCTTTGGCATACGTTTCCGCCAGGCGGATCACCAGTTCCTACACAGCTCGCATGTGTTTGGCAACATCTCCAAGATTCTGTCCAAGTCGGATGAGCAAAACGATGCCATGGCGGTGTCGATGATGCTCAAGCCGGAGAATCAGCATCCCCATGATGCGGAGCACAACCAGGTGGTGATGCCACATCCCGTGGCAGCTGGAGCTGGCGCCCGACTGCTCTGCTACACCGATCTGGCGGGCATGTTCGAGGTGACGGTGTCCTCGCGACCCGCCATGGCCGAGTCCCTCACCGACAACTCCACGGAGACGTTCTGGGAGAGCGACGAGGAGGATCGCAACAAGTGCAAGATCATCGAGATGTCGCTCACGAAGCTTAACTATGCCTGTCGCTACCTCCTGGTGCACATCGACAACAGCCGGGACATTCAGAACAAGGTCCTCAATGTGGTCTTCTATGCCGGCCAATCGCTGGGCGACACAAATGTGATCAAGTCAACGGACGTGGATCCCAAGGCCTGCGCCTGGATCTCGGCTAAGATCGGAGATGATAGCTGCACCCACTTTCGCCTGGAACTGCACGGTCCCGAGAATACGCTGCGCGTGCGACAGATCAAGCTGCTGGGCCTGCCCACAGGCGGTGCATTGGGTGCCGAGGATCCCATGGATCCGCTGCGTCCCCATCTCATGCAGCAGCCCCACCTGCGCCTGAGCCATGCCTCGCGCATCCAGCAGCAGATCTGTGAGGCGGAAACCTTGCGTGTGTTCCGTCTGATCACTGGTCAGGTCTTTGGCAAGCTGATCAGCAATGTGGGCTCGGATCTAGTGCCACCGGATTCAGCACCACCCAGCGCCGGCGGCGGTGGCGGAGGAGGAGGAGGAGCAGGAGGATCAGGAGCCGGAGCCAGCACTTCCCTGCTGGCAGACTCTCTAGACCTCAGGGAGCACATGGTGGGCATTCTGTTCTCGCGCAGCAAGCTGTCACATCTGCAAAAGCAGGTCATTGTCCACATAGTCCATGCCATTCGCAAGGAGGCTCAGCGGGCCAAAGAGGACTGGGAGCTGGCGAACCTGGCGCACGGTCTCAAGCAGCAACAGCAGCAGCCACCCGCACCTGCACCCTCAACCAGCAGCGAAAGCTCTCCAGAACGCAACCGGGCACCGGACACCTACTGCTTCGAGATGCTCAGCATGGTGTTGGCCCTGTCCGGCAGCGTGGTGGGTCGCTCCTACCTCTCGCAGCAGCACGGCTTGCTCAGGGATCTTCTCGGGCTGCTGCACACCGGCAGCGATCGTGTGCAGCGCCAGGTGACGGCCTTGCTGCGTCGCATCTTGCCGGAAATATCGCCGGAGAGCTTTGCCGAGCTGCTGGGCGTCCAGAGATTGCCGCCGGCGGACTATAGCATTGCCCATCAGTCGGCCAGTGACTTTGATATGAGCCGGCTGGGTCTGCTGGACATATTCCTGGCCGTCATAGCCAAGTCCCTGCAGTTGCAGGTCAAAGTAAAGACGACAGCAGCAGCCTCGGCAGCAGCTGGGGGAGCAGGAGGAGGGACAGGCTCGGGAGCAGGAGGAGGAAGCGGAGTAGCCAAGTCTGGACAGCAAGAGAAGACTCCAGCCTTTGTGCGGCTTTGCAGCTCCCTGGATCTTTCCGTGCAGCAGCTGCGTTCGCGTCCGCCCACTGGAGAGCCGGGCGGAACCGATCCCTTCCAGTTTGAAACCCTGCCACCGCCGCCGCCGCCCAGGAAGGAGTCCAAGCGGAATCTGAACCAGCGATGGTTCCTCAACGGCGTGATCTCCACCAAGCAGGCGGAGAGCATCATTGGTCTCATACGGGATTTGGCCAGCGTAAGTGGAAGAAATTGCGTTAGGTAATCTTCGTTAATCCTTTGCTAACCTTGCAGGGCAAGCTGAGCGAGAAGTGGTCGCAAATCACCAAGGCGGCCATTGCCGAGTCCGTGCTGAATCTCACCCGGCTGGAGGAGATCTATCGCACCCCAGAGCACTGCACCAAGACCTCGACACTGTGGCTGGCCTTGGCCAGTCTCTGTGTCCTGGAGCGCGATCATGTGGAGAAACTGTCGTCGGGTCAATGGTCCAAGCTCTGCGACACACGGCCATTGTGCAGTAACCATGACGATGGCGAGACGGCGGCCATTATCCAATGCGAAACCTGTGGCTCCCTCTGCGGCGACTGTGATCGCTTCCTTCACCTCAACCGCAAGACGCGATCCCACAAGCGAACGGTGAGTTTTCAGCTGTGGAGAGCCATGGAGAGATTTCCATGATTTCTCATTGCTTTCATCTTCCAGGTGTGCAAGGAGGAGGAGGAGGCCATACGGGTGGAGCTGCACGAATCTTGCGGCCGCACCAAGCTCTTTTGGCTGCTGGCCCTGGCCGACTCCAAGACACTCAAGGCCATGGTGGAGTTCCGCGATGGCAGCCACACGATCATCTCGGGACCCCAGGAGGCCGTGGGCAGGTGCCGTTTCTGCGGCCTTACCGGCAACTCGGGTTTGCTGGAGATTGGCAATGTGTGCGCCGATGCCCAGTGCCAGGAATATGCGGCCAACTCCTGCCTAAAGACGAAACCCTGTGGCCATGCCTGTGGCGGAGTGACCGGCGAAAGGAAGTGCCTGCCCTGCCTGCAGCATGTTTGCCATAGCCGGGAGAACGAGCTAGCCGAGGAGCTGAGAGATCCCAAGCTCACTCAGGATGCGGACGATATGTGCATGATCTGCTTTGTGGAGGCCCTGTCCTGTGCGCCCTCTATTCATGTAAGGATCGATGGGTTACTAACCTGAAAGGAATCCTGTTTCTTATTAATTTTGGATTCCAATTTCCACAGCTGGAGTGCGGCCATGTTTTCCACTATCACTGCTGCAAGGCGGTGCTGGAGAAGCGCTGGAGTGGTCCCCGCATCACCTTTGGCTTCTCGCTGTGCCCCATCTGCAAGGCGGACATCCAGCATCCGCTGCTAGCCGACATCCTGGAGCCCATTAATGGGCTCAAGCAGGATGTCAAGCGCAAGGCGCTCATGCGGTAAGCAAAGCAAAGCTACAAAATGATTAAATAACCCTTGTAAACCCTCTCCTTGGCTTCCGGCAGCATCAAGTACGAGGGCGTGGTCAAGGACACGGACAGCAAGGACGTGAACATGACCCAGCTGGCCATGGATCGGTATGCCTACTACGTATGCTTCAAATGCCAGAAGGCCTACTATGGCGGCGAGGCGCGTTGCGATGCGGAAATTGGTGAGAAATTCGATCCCGAGGAGCTGGTTTGCGGCGGCTGCTCGGATGTGGCCCGTGCCCAGATGTGCCCCAAGCATGGTACCGATTTCCTGGAGTACAAATGCCGCTACTGCTGCTCGGTGGCCGTGTTCTTTTGCTTTGGAACAACGCACTTTTGCGACACCTGCCACGACGACTTTCAGCGGCTGACCAATATACCAAAGGTGAAGCTGCCACAGTGCCCGGCCGGGCCCAAAGCCAAGCAGCTGCTGGGCGATGAATGTCCGCTTCATGTGATGCATCCGCCCACCGGCGAGGAGTTTGCCCTCGGCTGCGGCGTTTGTCGCAATGCCCAGACCTTCTAGCCACACACTTGTCTGCCAAAGGCTAAGGAAATGGCAAAGAAATCCAAAGATGGCGATGACGATGACGATGATGACGACGTCGACGACGACGAAGATGATGATGATGATGACGCGGAACTGGCCCCAGACATGTGGGCGAGCATCTGGTCACAGTCGGACGACTCGCGGACGTATTTGTAGGGATTAGAGACCCCCAGAAAAAAAAAAAGAAAACTAGGCGCAATCCTCAATCCTTGAACCCTCTACCCACTAAACATCCCCTAGACAGTAATTAACTCATCGGAATGGCAATGGATATGGCGGATATAGATATTTTCTAGGTTAGCTGAAGACACGACCACATCGGACGACGGATATTGGATAACAGATAACGGATTAGCTAATAGCGTGTAGCGTATATATTAAAATATTATTCTTTTTTTTTTTACAACACTCGCAACACTCGAATCTCCCCTCAAAATCAAATTCACTATAAATATATATATTATTTTTAAAAATTTATTTTAATGTACAATTCCGGAGCGAGAGCGAGAGTGGGAGCGCGAGAAGTTTGTACATAATACTCCTGCTCCCTCAAGACCCTCCAGCTCCTCCAAAGCACATTATAAGCGACATTTATATATATATATACGCATTGCAAATAACTAAATTATATAAATATATATATATTTATTATGGGAAACTGACGGGCGAACGGATGCAATAAAAATCAATTCTGAATGTAATACTCTGGATCTGTGGTTTTATTTCAATGTGGTAATATTAATCAAATCAACATTTTATAGCGCAATTAAGCGAAGTTGCCTTAAACGGGTGTGTCAGGCGAACAGAAAAATTAGCAAGCAAGCTGAATAAATCATCGTAAAGTAAAGAAACGAAAAGAAAGCCTTCTGATTGGCCATTTTGACGGGCGGCCATTATTTAATCTTTTAAGATCCGTTTCCGTGCGGCGGCCATTACAATTTTCGAACTTAGAGATGGACAAAAACAGCTGATCGCCAAACACTTGCTGCCTGTTGTAAAAAGACAGAAAATATGTGGAATAAAGGCGATTTTTTGCCAGCCGATGAGATCCTCAACACTTAAACAAAGCAGACTAAACAAAATTGGATTCATTTATATAATTGTTGATTAATAATATAATAATATACATACCAGTTCCACAAAGAATACAAAACAAGGTTTTAAAATATATATTTTTTAAAAAACATTTATGTATGTATTTCTCTTTTCTTTGTTTCTTTCATTTATTATGTCTTAGCTTCTGTTCTGCGCTTTCTGCGGTTTTGAAAATTGCTTTCTTTCTTTGCTTCTCCTCGTTCTTAGTTTTAGTTTCCGGTTCCGTTCTAACCTCAAACATGGGTGTATGTATTTGTGTGTGTGTATGTGGCCTGTCTCTGTGTAGTTGTGTCTAAGTGTGGGTCGAATGCGGCAATAATCAAGTAACTATACACATTAACTGTAGGCATTAAATCCAGCGATTCTCAAATAAATGTTACAACTATTTTTCTGTTATCGATTTTGTGGCTTGTCTTCTGGCTTTTTTTTTTTTTTTTTGCATTTGCTCCATATTCCAGGTTCGAAAAAATGCGTTCAAAAAGAAAGATTAAAAATAAATAACATTAATAATAATTAATAAATAAAATATATTGGTAATTATCGATCAATTTCGGTATCGGAATATCATATAAGTGAACTTTTGTGTCCTGTGACCTATAGAAAAATTAAAATATTGAATGGGGATACATATTTTCAGCCGCTTTTGGAAGCTTCTTTGGCGAACAATTGGAATATGGAGCCTAGTTTTTTCCTTTAATTTTTGTTTGTTTCGTAATCAGCGGCCCAAAGACGAGCCCTAGCAAGCTTCAAATGGTATAAACTACCTATATATACATATATCCATATATATATGTGCATGTGTATATATATATTTATATGTAGGTATGTAGGGGTGTTTGTATATAACTGTAAATATGATCAGCAAAGCCGAAGCCTGATCTCGCTCAGTTTGGGCGCAGTGTGACCAAAACTCAATTGATTTCAAACTATTTTTACATACTCGTATTATTCATGCTTTGCTTCTTTAGTTTTTTTTTCTTTTTCGTGTTTTTTTTTTTTTTATTGGTTGGGTATTTCTTTACTTGCAGTTGCAATATTGTAGGTAGTACTTTGTGGTATTTTTTTTTTTAATTGTTAAATTTGTATTTAATTGGTTTTTCTCTTTTTCGTTTTGTTTCGATTCGATTCGTCTTATTTTGTTTTTTGTTTGTTTTTCTTTGTAAATATATAAATAGGCAGCTTTTCGATTTTTTTTAAAACAAAGGGCGCGTGTACGAAATAAGTTTCAGTATTTTGTTTTCGTTGCTTGGTATATTTCATTCAAACAACTATGCTTCTCAAATTGGTGGAAAATGTTTAACATTGCTTTATCGCGTTTGTTCTTGTTTCTTCTTGTTTGTAAAATTTTGGTTCTTTTTTGTCTAGAGTCTAGAGCATAATGCTAAGTATTTTTGTATTTTTTTGTTGGTATTATCAGTATCTTTAGTATGTTTTGGTTTAGCCGTGGTATGTTGTAGTTTTTTTTTACGAGTTTTAATTTCTTTTTTTGTTTTTGTTTTTGTTTTTTATTTTCTAGCATTGCTGTGGGACTTACGTAATATAAAAGGGGAAACAAAAATGAGGCGCGTGAATTGTTGGTTAAGGCTTTTCTCTATCATTGTATAATGTATATAGTTAAATTAGGTTTCTCCTCTCGCTTTTTTGTTGGGGCTTTGTAAAACGGTAATCCTTAATTTTCGAGTGTTGTGAGTTAATTTTGCTCTGCATTAATAATGTATATTCTTGAGTGTTTTTTTTTAGGTTTTAGGTTTCTTAGTTTTCGTTTTCATTTTTTAGGTTTTTGTTTAGAAAAAAATTCTGGCGTATAAAAGCTTAATTTTTTTAGGTTGTTAGGTCGTTATCGTTATCGATCTAGATGTAACTAGAGGTACACATACACATATGTATAAGCATATATACATATGTACATGTGCATTTTCTATAATAATATTATGGTTTCAATCAGTTTCCCTTTGGCGCCGACCTTGAGAAGCCCTCCCCTAAATATCAGACTGGAACGGGGGCTTTTTCTAGGCCTGTCTCAATGGTAGGTGTGTTTGTGTGTGTGTGTGTGTGTGAGTGTGTGTATATATATATACAATACATTCGATTAAACGCCCATAAATTGTTCAATATAAATTTCGACTAAGCTTGATCTAAGATTTGTAATTGCACCATTCGTACTTACATTGGGTTTACGGTTTTTACCTAAATAGTTCTTTTCACGACTTTGTTCACATGCTTTTAATGCTAATATGTCCTCTAGGTTTAGTGTCTAGATCTGAGTTGCTAGTTTGCTGAATGCGCGCTGCTTGAGTTCGTTTAGTTACTTTAGGTTATACTTATAAGGCTCAGTGTAGTGTTAGATCTAGAAGGGACACCCGTAAACAATACCAACAGTGGGGCGGAAGCGAGACAGGCAGATAGTTTGACTTCAAGTTGGAGACAGAGATAGAAATAGAGAGAGAGAGAGAGAGAGAGAGAGATAGAAAGAGAGAGAGAGAAAGTACTCTAAGCTACAGGTAACTCTGCGCCCTGCTATCGTATCAGTGCATCATCGTATGAGGATCGATCCTATATAGTAATGCTTTTCCCGTATTTTCCCCGCCTCTGGCCTAGTGCGTTACTCAGTTGCCTTATCCATATAATTAGCTATATATATAAAGGTGTGTGTATATATATAATTATTCTAGTTAACAAAAAAAAAACTATTTACAGTGAGCCAACTACATTCAACTAGAAATTAGCGCCTAAACGTATGCAACAAACTCCCCTCGCTAACCATTAACTTTTGATTCATTGTTTTGAGTATTGAAAATACGTATATGTTTATGTATATGTACATACATACATGAGTGAGTGTCCTGTGTCCGCTTTATGTATGGGTGTGTGGATTACTCAATTTTTTAATACCACTTAAATTGCTTTTTAGGTTTTTCTTTGTTGTTTTCTTTGGGAATTTGAAAAAAATCTACAACTAGAACTAAGTAACTTTACCGGCCTTGGCCCCGTTCCCCTAAAAAAAAACAAAATAAAAAACACAACCCACCCCTCACAATTGTCCCCCCGGGAAGACGACAGTTCGTATGTACTCCTACTATTCGTATTGCTGGGAAACAGGGCCTATGCCAGGTATACCAATATAATAATGTATCATCAAACATCAACTAGGGAGAATCGAAAAAGCGGGGAACGAGAATCAAGGGGCCTTAAACTTAATGAAACCTCTTGCCTCTAAACCAGGATACTCCCTATATAATATAGTTTGTGTATATATATATATATATATACTCCACGGTGCCAAACTATGCCAAGTCCAAGCATAAACAAATATCTAAGGTTTAATAAATACCTTGCCTCTAAATTTATCAATTTCAATTGGTTTTCCGTTTAGCTAATTTTTTATCACAAAATATGTGTTGTGTTGTGTTGTTTAGTGTAGTGTGAGTGTGTGGCTAACATATTTTGCAAAAATTGAATTCAAGTATTTACAATGCCCAAACAAAATCCATTTTGATCTTAGCTTGCAACTAGAGAGATTTGCTATTACCTTTTCTTTTGCTATTATCATTATCATTATTATTTCGATTTTGTTTTTAGTTTTCAGTTTCTTAGGTCTGTCGATTGTCGTTTCGTTTTTAGCGGCCACATATCTGCTGTCTTTATATCTGATCTGTGAGTAATATCTATGTTTTGAAAGGTTACTGAGGGTTCTCCCCGATAAAGGCGTCGAAAAGTATGCCATAATTGTGGGAGTTCCATGCGCAAAATATACTATTGCATACTTTTAGACAGCATCGCGAGGGATTTTATAACTGCAGAGATTTCATTTTCATTGCGTTAACTATTTGGTTGAGTTCGAGATCGAGATCGAGATCGAGATCGAGTCTATATAAGCTTACAAATTAGGGAGCGGCAGGCAGGGAGCCAAGCGAGTGCCAGAGTGCCGGAATGCTCAAGCCGAGTTTCCTTACGAGTTTTCTTCAGTTTCAGTGTTTAGGACGGGTTATATCCATAATCATCTCTGTTCTGTGTACTATATATTTGTGTTTTTCTATATGTACAATTTGACTATTAAATATTTTAGCTACTTGGCGAGTTATCTCTCAGCGAGCTCCCAAAAAAAAGCTTAGATATTCCTATTTCAGCTATGACTGTGACGGTGTTTGTGTGTGTTGTTTCGGGAGTGGGTATGTGTGTGTGTAGGTGTAATTTCAGGACCTCTATAGATCCTCTCTCTAAAGTTAGGTCTAGGTCATCATAGGCTATGTACAATTCACGGGCATTGTTTCTTCGGTTTGTAAGCTTTCTTTTCTCAGTTTTGTTTTTTTGGTTTTTTTGGTTTTTTGGTTTTCGGTTTTTGCCATCCTTTAGCAGTTATCACAAAATTATTTATATATACATACAGCTAGATCTCTGTGTGTGTGTGTAATAGTGTCCCTCTGTGTGTGTGTGTGTGTTCATGTGTATATATATCCGTATATAAAGTTAAATAATTGCAGTAAATGTAGCAAATTCGTAAGCAATATGCTTGCCTTAATTGTAATCGTTATCGTTATCGCTAATCATAATCATATAACGTTTAAAGAGTATCGAATATCGAGAATATCGAGCACATCCTTTCAGAGTGTGTGTCTGTGTGGGTGTGTGTGTGTGAGAGCGAGAGAGGGATAGCAATAGGTAGAGATTTGTATAGCGAAAAATAGATTGATTCTTGTGGTTTAACCAAGATTCTTCTGCAACATGTACGGATGTACATAACAATTTCCGTTTTAAAAACTAAGGTTTTGGTTAATTAAAAAAAATCTACAAATCTATTAAAACATAAAATTCCTGGATAACTATTAGGGTCCCTAAGTGTTAAATATTAAGTGAAGTTTGTCAATTTACACACTAAAAAAAACATAACAATACCGAAATCTCTATCAGACTTGTCCTTCTAAATATCCTTTTGAATTTCCCCTAGATCCATAGATTTTGGAGGATTTTTTGAAACTGGAAAAGTTCTGGGAAATGTGTACTATTTCCATTCGAAGACTTGGACCAGTTTTGTTATCGATATAAAATGTCCTTCCAAATATCCTTTTGAATTTCCCCTAGATCCCTAGATTTTTGAGGATTTTTTTTTAAACTGGAAAAGTTCTGGGAAATATATACTATACTATAAGACTATTTCTCAAATATAACCTAAAGCAAATCAATTCAAACTTAAAGTTGGGAAACTTAAGTTGGGAAATCATTATTAGGAAAACTATAAAATCATTTTAAAAGTCGAACAAGATTACTAAAATATTCGAAATATCCCAGAATTTCTTTATGATAACTTAAACGATGAGATCTTGCCTGCATTGCCCCTTAGATAATTACCCAAATAGCCATATTCCATTATGGATTATTTGGGGGAAAGCTTTGGGAACTGACAACGGATAGATCATATAGTACATACGTGCAGGCTGCAGGAATTCCAATGGATCCTGACCAAGTAGCTGTGAGACATGAGTAGCTTGAGTGTTTTCGAGTTGTGTTGAGGTTACAGCTGTGTCTTAAATATATCGACTAACTAAGCGTAGGCGTAGGCTTGCGAGTGGGCGTGGCTGGGCCCCTACTCCTCCTCCTCCTCTTTCTGGTGCTCCTCCTGCTCCTTTACTGCTCCTGGCTGCTAGAGGAGGAGCACTCCTCCGTCCGTTCGGGTATCGTGGGCTAGAGGAACTCCCGCTTGGAACCACTGCTCCTGGGCCCGCTGCCTGTGGGCGTGGTGGTGGGCGTGCCACTGCCGCTGCCCGTTGGAGGCGGCGTTGGTGTGGTGGCCGCCGTGGGTGAAGTGACCCCGGCTCCCGCTCCCACACCCGCTGAAGTCGTCGGCAGCTGGGCCGCCGTAAAGTCCTCCTCGAGCAGGCGTAGATGAAGCAGTTGGCCCGCTGGTGCTGCCGCTGCCGTTGCTGCTCCTGGTGGCGACATGTCCGTCGCCGACTGATGATCCGCTGACGCTGGCGCCGACATCGTGCCAGATCCGGTAACGGATCCCATGGGAGCGGCGGTCGCGGTGCCGGCCGACGAGGCGAGTGTCTGCTTAGGAGGCGCCGGTGCTTTCCTGCTCTTCGAGCGTCGCTTCTTGAGCATCAGCGGCCCCAGGCCGTTGCCTCCCGCGCTCGACACAGGTGGGGCGCCCGGATTTAGCAGGCCGCCACCAGCGCCAGCTCCAGCTCCAGTTCCAGTTCCAGTTCCAGTTCCAGCTCCAGATTCCTGTCCCTGTCCCGATCCTCCTGGCGATGAGATGGTTATCACAGTGTCCACGGGACTGGTAACCACGGACGGCGTCTGTATCAACGTCTGGGTTGTGGTGGTGGTGGGCGTAACCACGGCGCCGCCACCGCCGCCGCCCGCGCCGCAGCCTGCGCAGATCTCGTCGCCGGGCGTGGTCTGGCCACTGCTATTATCCGGAGCAGAGCCGGCGCCGGCTCCCCCCGGTGTGGCTCCCGGCGGTGCCAGCCGCTTGACCAGCTCGCCGAGCAGATCTTCGATGCGACCGATGCGCTGCTGCATGCGCTGCAGCTCCAGCCGGACGTCCACCTTCATGTCCAACACGGTGGCGATGAGATCGCGCTGCGCCAGCGTGGGCGGCGTCTCGCGCAGCCCCGTGTCATAGGTATCCGAGGTGGTGGCCCTCGAGCTGGCCATCTCGATCTGCCGTTCGCGCTCCAATGCCAGGTTACGTTCCGCTTTGGTTGGGCCAGCTCCTCCGCCCGTCTCGATGGTGGCTACTACACCTGAGGATCCTCCAGTTGATCCCGCTGCTCCCGCGGCAGCGGCAGCTCCTCCCTCGATGACCACACGGCTGTCGCGACTGGGGGGCGAGGAGTCCACCTCGCCGCCCTCGTCGATGGTGTCCTGGCGGGCGAGGGTCGCCTGGCTCGCCTGCAGCTTGGGCGCCTTGGGAAAAACCTGGAGGTGACGTTTAATGGAACGATGGACGATGGCGATGCGGATGCAAATGCGGGATTGGGCGGTAGGATGTGGCAGGAGGCACATAGCATTTTGTTATTTGTTGTTGTGTTTTGTTTTTTAGAGGGAGAAAAGTGAGAAAAAGGTGTTTGAGTTTTTTGGAATTTGTTTTAAAACGGAATTTTGGGTTGGTTTTGGTTTTTTTTTTTATATCGATTGTTGAAGCATTCATTGCAGGTTGCAGCATTTGTAGGTTGCAGGTGGCAGATGCAGTGCATTTTGAGTTTGTTTTTTATTCCAATTTGTTGTTGATTTTTTAAGTTAATTTTGAGTTGAAGTGCATTTGGTTTTGATTCCAATTCGTCGATTAATTATTTAATTGATTTATCAAGTTTTTTTTTGAAGTTGTTGGTTGTTGATTTTTTGTTGTTGTTGTTGTAGATGAACGCAGGCAAGAGTTGTTGTTGTTGTGGTTGAAGTTTCAAAGAGAAAGTGACGGGAATAGGTCGATAAACGATAAAGAATAGAAAACATATCAATTGATTTGGTTGGGTGGTGACGGGATTATTGTGGCTGTCTAAATAAACTAGGGGGGGCGGTTGTATGGAGAAGGGGCGTGGCAGTGGGCTTAACTATTCAGTGGGCGCAGTGCAAGGTACGGCAGTAAGCTCTAGGTTTTGTCTTTGGCCAAAAGGCGGGCGTCCATCGATGGCGTTATTTATCATAAATAATTGAGTGGATTAGCACTACATTTTCGGTTTTAGCAAGCAATATATCGATCTTATCGCCCGCCCCTTAGCCTATCGGTAGTAAGTCCGATAACACTGGTTTTGTGGTGTGACAACTAAGATAGCGGTAAACCAAACTAATTGTTCGTAAAACTTACTTTGCTTAATTGTAAATGCTTTCAATTCGATTGCACAATTGTCAACATGGTAGATAGAAGTACGAAATGAAAATCGAATAAAATGATAGCAAAACGAACGAGTAACGGAGCCACATTCGGAATCGATATTGTTATCGTTAGAAGTGAGAAGAGCAAGATAAAGAAAAATTATAAAATAAAATATATGTGAAAAAAAACCAAACGAAAGAAGAGAGACAGAGTTATCATTAAAATGGAAACCCAAAGAGAGACACAGAAACAAACATGCATTTCCAAATTTCTTCAACAATCAATTGCATGGATGTTTGTTTAAGGTTTTTTTTTTTTTTTTTTTTTTTTGCAGATTAATATGTGAGAAAATACGTCTATAAGCCTGACATTTTAATATTTAATTTAATTTTGGAGTATTTAAAATAGTTATAATTTAAAAAAGACGCTCTATTATTTTAGGGTTAAAATAATTCCCCAAGGACTTTCAGCAATAACTGATTTTTAGAAACTTGTATATCGATACATTCTGTTATATAAATCGATATATTCAAGTATAATTTCCGATTTAATTCAGATATCTATTCCTATTTGAAATAATATTTAAAATAAAATATCTTCTTCCGATTGGCAGGTGTATAAACGTATTTTGGGTGTGTCTTTCAACTAAAAAAGAAATCAAGTTGAATTCTTCTCTTCAACGCTTTTCTTTCGTGTCCTTGTGTAATGGTGTCTAAATGGATCGCAGATCGGTGATCCCAGACGGCAGCTCCTGGAGCTGACATATACCAGATGCCAGTGGCTAGATCCCTGATCATCGATCAACTCTCCATTCGAACTCTGAGATCCCTGAAACCCTGGGTCAGGGGTCAAGTCAAGGCTTAATGGCTAGCGATAATTACTTTGTTGCCTTGTCCACCATTGCTACTCGAAGTACTACTCTGCCGCGCTTGGGCGGTGCTCTCTCGGAGGCTTTCGCGGGCGCTCAAACTTCTCGAGACGGCTACCTTGGCGCTGGTGTCGCTAGCTGAATCGACGCTTGAACTGCCCAGGAGGCGTCCCCACTTGCTGGCCCGCGTACTCCGCGCAGATGGTGGACCCGAGGATGGCGAGGGGGATGGCGATGGCGAGGGCACTGCCCCTGAGGCGGACGCGGATGCGGATGCGTTGGCGGTGCCGAGGATGCGCGCGTCCTCGGTGAGTGTTAGTTTTGCTGGTAGCTTCTTGTATATGTTGTTTCAAATTTTTGTTGTTGTTTTTGTTGATTGTTGATTTTCAATTAACGATTAGCGATTGTTTTTTTTTTTGTATTTTTAACGAGCATTATTATTGCGGGGATTTTTTTTTTTTTTTTTTCAAAAATTGTAGCAAGCATTTGCGGAATAGGTTGTTCGAGCGCAAGACAGTTGGGTAAGACAAAAGAGAGAGAGAGAGAGAGAAATAGAGAGAGAGAGAAGAGTCGCAGGAGGTGTAAGGAGATTTGAGGAATAGAAGGGAATTTCAAGGGAGTTTTTAAGGTAATTTTAAGGTAAATTTCAGGAAGGATATAAGGAAGAATTAGGGTAAAGATTTTCCATACATTTCGTAATTATTTCGGAACGGGAATTACGTTTTGGATTGGATTTTGGGGTTTCAATGTGAGAGAGTGTGGGGAAAAATAATACAGAATTTTCCGTTAGTAATTTTGTTTAAACGATTTTGATTTCAAGTTCAATTCAAAGCCAGATTTGCAATAAATTTTGTACAAAAAAGATGACAAAGAAACGAAAAGAAAACACAGAAAGCAAAGAGGAAAGCAGTTAAAAACACGTAAACACCAAATTAAGTTCACACACAAAAGTACAGTTGAGTGTAAGGCAAGGCCAAGCAGGTGTCAGGGTGGGTTTTGTGGTGTTCATGGTGTAATCAGCATGGGGAGTGGGCGTATTAGAGTGGTGAGTTCAATGCGAGAATTATGCGAAAGCATGTTTAAGAAAGACAAAGACAAAGAAAGACATACAACGAGCATAAGTCACTTGGTATACGGTTAATCGCTGCGATGGTAAGAACATTAGTTTAAAGCAGTTCAACGGCAACAACGTTACGATTAGTAATATATATCTAAATATGGTACAAATATATTTGTATAACTACGCCTAAATACGGTTACAGTTAACACAGGTAACAGGTAACAACAGTTGCCACCAGGTTTTAAGTGCCCAGGTGGATATATCGGTATCGGTATCGGTATCGGTATATCGGTACACTTTTCTTTTTTCTGCTGCGGTGAATTTGGTGGATTGTGAGGCTGAGGCTTCGAAAGAACAGTTAGTTAGTACAGTTAACGGTGAACAAATGGCAATGAGAGTTATACGTACAGGAACGGAAACAGAAAATTGGAACACTCACACACACAGCAACGAAAGATGAAGAAATCATAAGCGATTGTAGGACAATATTTATGGGATTTCAATATATCGAATAGTATATTCAAAGTTCAAAGATCCATAGTTCAGTCTCAAGGTTTTCGTTTTGTTTTCTTTTTTGAGATATTTAAAAGCACCGAAAATAATTTCAACATTTGAAATAGGACTATGAATGAGGATTGTAATTTAGTTTTTGCATTACTTGAAATAAAATAGACTCTACTTCATGTTAAAGCCCAATTTCAAGGCACAGATCAATAATAACTCTTTGAAAGAAAAATGTATATAGCTTAACCCTTAATGACATCCAAATTCCCTCTCCAATCATCATACAAACGCAGTGACAAAAGAATATATAACCCAGGGAACACAGAACTACAGTAAACACAACAGCGAAACACATGAAAATGGAACACATAACACACGGAAAGCGAAATGCACAGCAACAGAGAGATAGATACATAGATAGATAGATAGAGAGAGACACACAGAGAGGGAGACAGACAGAGAGGCTATTATTTTAGTTTGTGGACTCACCTTGGTACGCTCCACCTCGCCGTCACCCTTCTCGACATCACTTTGACCCGATCCACCGACAATCTCCTTGCTACCGGCCTGAACCTGCGGCGTTCGCCGGAACTTGGAGAATATCTTCCGGACAAGATGATCCTGATTCTGGGGCAATTGCGGCTCGTTCTTACGCCGTTCGGCCAATTCTTTTTCGCGCTTCACATCGGCCACCTTGCGAAAAATCAGTCGATGTCTGAGATTGTAGGTGAGCACCAGATTGCGTGCAAAGCTATTCGCAAATGCCGAATAGAAATCGAGGACTTCGAGCAATTTATCACGTTTGATGGCATGCAAATCACAATAGGTCAGGGCGCGCACGTTGGCCGCGCTCTGGCCGACGGCCGAGTCCTTCCAGAATTGATCGCCGAAGACGTCGCCCTTGCCTGTGAAAAAAAAAAAAAAAACAATAATAAAATACCAGAGGGAGACATAGTTCATATTCCCCTTATGATTTGCCTTACTTTGGGAGTAATCGATGCGGGACCAATGGATAAACATAACTCACCCAATATAGCCACAACCTCGTCGTCCTGTATGACCTCCAGGCTGCCGGTGACAATGAAGCAAAGGCTATCGATGCTCTCGCCGGTGTGATAGAGCAGATCCCCCGGCGCCGAATGGGACATCATAAAGTGCATCGCCAGTGCCCGGAGACAACCATCCGAGGCCAGACGAAATGCCGGATGCTCGTTAAATACTTTGCGATTTAGATGAACACATATGTCAGCCTTCATATCTTTCGGACAATAGTTTAGTACCTGCGAATTGTGAACGAGTTGCGAGTGGCAGTTCTAATCGAATCGTATCGTATCGTATCGTATCGAATCGAATCGAATGAGATACCCTCTAAAGTCCCTTCTGTGTACTGAAATATTTGCGGACCACCACCACGGAGGTTTTCCACCCAGATTCTTCGCGCAGAGATTTTACTGGGAAGACAGAGAGAGTGGACGGTAGGAGCAGAAGAAGTTATTTCAACCAGTTTCTATAGTAGATTATGATTCTTCTGGCGTTTCAAGCTAGATGTCATTCTTCTGGGGGAATATTCCTAAATTTGGATTCTGTATAAAGGAAATTTTTAAGATTCTTCGGAAGATACAGAATCACACTCTAATGAAGATTCACTGGCTGGATCTCTGACTTTTAGCTTTCCATCTAAACCAGATTATGATTCTTCTGCGTTTTCAAGCTTGAAATAGGTCTACTGGATTTTCAAGCTATATCTGATTCTTTTGGGTTTCCAAGCTAGCTCTGATTCTTCTAAAAATAAACTTCCTAAATTTGGATTCTGTATAGAGAATCTTAAAAGTTAATAAGATTCTTCAGAAGAATTCTTCAAGCTTGCTAGCCCAGATATAGAATCACACTCTAATGAAAATTCACTGGCTGGAACTCAGACTTAAGGCTTTCCATTTACACCAACCAGTTTCCAAGCCAGATTATTCTTCTGGGTTTTAAGGTAAATAAAATTCTTCTGGGGGAATTCCCCTTTAATTTGGATTCAGCATAAAGTAAACTTTTACGATTCTTCAGAAGAATTCTTCAAGCTTGCTAGCCCAGATATAGAATCACACTCTAATGAAAATTCACTGGCTGGAACTCTGACTTTTGGCTTTCCATCTACACCGATTGATTTTTTTTTCAGATTCTCTGGGGGGAATTCTTCAGCTCTAGTGGCTAACGGGACACGCACACGCAGGCACACATACACTAATACACATACAACATTGATCGAGTGTCTCTGTGTATGTGTGAGTCTGTTTCTCCTTGTGTGTGGGTGTCTGACTGTGTTTGTCTGTGTGTGGGTGTGGGCTTGTTTTTTTTTCCTGGGTGCAGAGTGCCAATTTCGGGGAATCCCTGGCACTCTTCCCCTTCAGATTTGAGTCTCAGTTAGGTCAGGGGGTTGGATGTGGGAACTCTAATTGCGGCACAAACTACAGTCAACGAAATAGGTATAAAGGTCAGTTTCAAAACGGCTTGAACCGTTTGCAAACTCCGTTTCTCTGTGTTTTCTTTTTGAACCAAACATCGTGGGGTTTTTATACATGTATATTCAAAGGTCAAGGCGCAAGCGACCCCTGGGGTTTTTTTGTGTTTTTTTTTTTTGTGGGTGTTGGGAACTAATCTTTTCTGGGGGTTTCAGGGGTCGCTGCGCCGTTTGGTTCAGGTTCATCTAAAGGCATGAATTTGACGGACGCTTTTCGTTTTGGCACGGATCTCGCTCGCGGGCAGACACATGGAGAGAATGGAGAGATAGATCATCGGTTAGCTGAGTTCTGTCAAAGATGGTTTCGTTAGAGGTTAGAGCTTAAGGTGATGAATCCGCACTTAATCAGTAATCAGTATCAGTTATTGTTTTCCTGGGCCACCCACAGCTTACCTCGGACCGTGGGCCTGGTCCTTGATCTGTGGATGGGTGGATTTTGGTTCCCTGCCAAGGTACCTTTCTTTGGGGGTTCTAGATCTTAGGCCTAGGGATGCGAGTAGCAGCTTCAAAATAATACGAAAACAAAGCGGGATAGCAGCGACCATTTTTTTTTTTTCGGAGAATTAAGGAGAGAGATAGTACAGGTGTTTTTGTTCTGGTGTGGTGTATGGAGTTAGAGATGTGTGTGGAGTGTGTCTGTGTATGTCGTCTAGCTGTATAACTAGCAAGCGTGAGTCGAGTGACAAATGACCAGTAACGAAAGACGAGTATCTTATAAGCAGCGAAATGCCTTAAAGCGTGTAACGAGTGATGGGTGGACGAATGACTGGTAACGTGTAGAGTATAACGAAGAGTAAGTAGGGTGTAAGGAAAAGCAAAGGACGAGTAGCGAGTGTTTCTTACTTGTATGTTATGTATGTGTGCGTATGCCGAGTGCATTAGAGATAGTGATAGACTGAAGTGATTCAAGCTTTACCAAATAGCTAGCGCTATAATTATGTACAAATCGAAGCCCAATCCCAGTTAATTTTTAGTTTACCATATATACAAAAGCATTAAATGAATGAGGCACATACACGTGGCAGAAGCATCATCTACCGACTTTGGGTATAATGAATTTTCTCCTAACAAATAATGCTCGAATGAAAAAATCTTGTAGCCCGGTCTGAAATAATGCTTGAATGTACGATTCGGGTAGTTAGAAGCTGGCTGGCAACAAAAAGGGCATAATGCGGTTCCCATTTAGCCCCTCCCTGGGGGCTATCGTCTCCTTGCAGTCCCAAATAGACGAAAGTTTCATTCTCGCCGATCGAACTTACCTTCTCGGTGTCCAGACCCTTGGTCATGGCCCAGGTGGATACGACATAGTCCATTACGCGTTCGCTGAGAGCCTTCGGCACCTCGTGGAGCTTCATAAACTCTCGCACGTTGTTCAGCATGTCGTGGTACTTGGCCGTAGCCGAGGTCATCTGCTGGATAATGGTGGTCACGTGGCCAAAGATCGTGGCATACAGCAGGGCTATATTGGGTTGATTGGTGGTTGAATATACACACATAGAGAGAGAGAGAAAGAGAGAGATATCGGTGATGAGACAGACGCATTAAGCGGCGAGTGCACACAGAGTTGGAGTTCGTAGCGGTTGGGGATCCATTTAAAGCAAACTTTACACGATCAGCTAGATAACACTTGAGAGATGTGTGAAGGCACAGAGAGAAAATACGAGCTGTTCTCTCTCTGTGTGTACGTAGAGTGTGCGTGTGATGTGTGAGTGAGATAGTTATAGGGTGTGTGTTATCAGTATTCGCTGATGCTACGCGCTGTGGAAGAAGAGACGCACAGGTGCGCGGCTAGAACAGTAATAAATGCCACAGATTGGACGAGCACACAGTTGGACAGAGACAGAGAAGAGGCAGAGGATGGGGAATAAGGAGTTGGAGCGGGAGCGGGAGCGGTATGGCGAGTGACATGAGCAAGACACTGCGCAGGATCAGCGAGATCTTTGAGATTATGGAAACCTCCTTTCAAACAATTTGATCACTGATCATGCGCAGTGGACGTGAGATGCTCCCGTCTGATAATAACGAGTTATATAGTATGTACAGAGAGAGAGAGAGAGAGAGAGAGAAATAGTTACTTATAACGAATTACGGTTAACGAGTTCCATATAACGAGTTATGGTTAACTAGTAACGAATTACGGCTATCGATATACGTTATACGGTATATACGAGTAACGAGTTACGGACAACGAGTAGAGAGGATTAGAGAGAGCAATGCAACTCACACATGGCGACGAATTGTGCAACTAGATGGCGACGGAGCAGAAGAAGGGTGGAGAGATAACGAGACTTGAGACTCTGGCTGCGAATCAATAATTGACTGAAGGAGTGTGAGTGAGCTGCTCTACTGGGGACATGGACAAAATGGACATGGTCTACGAGTCAAATGAGGCTCTACACCAAATAACTGGAGCGATTTATTAGTTCTAGCTGCGCAAGCGGATGGCCTAGCTTTCAAATGAAATCGGAATCGAAATCGAGAATCGAGTTCTAGATCCAATAAAATCAAGAGTCGAGAATCGGAAACCGGAAACCGGAATTTGAAAAGCGTGACGCGTGTGCGGGAATATCAAGAGACTTTTGACGCGGCAACGGAACGTGTTAAGGACACAGCACCTGCAATGATCATCATGCAGATGGTGAACACCTTCTCGTTGTCTGTCTCCGCGGCGACATTGCCAAATCCCACCTGTATTAAAAATCGTTGAAAATTAAGCAGAAAAATACAAAAAAAATAGAACAAGAGACGAGAGGATAGAGACATATTCCAAATATTATTATCACAAGTATGGATTCGTCCTGATGGGACACTCACCGAGGTCATGCACGTCATGGTAAAGTACAGGGCCGTCACGTACATGCTCTTCCGTGACGGCCCGTTCACCAATTCCGGCCCGGTGTCGTTGCTCCATATGTACGAGTACGGAGATTGCGTCACATTGGCCAGCTTCCACAGCCAGCTGTACTGAATCTGCAAGAAGAGACGAGGAACGGTGGGGATTAGCTCTAGAAGACCATTGCTGGATCTCTTCTACCGAACTCACCCCATTGTCGGCATCGCTGCGCCCTATCGAATACCAAATGCAGGCCAGCCAGTGGGCCACCAGCATGTAGAAGCAGAGCAGGAGTATCAGCATGGCCGCACCGTATTCCAGGTAGCGGTCCAGCTTGCGCACCACACGCCCCAGCCGAAGCAGGCGGACGACCTTGAGGGCACTAAACAGGGACCCGATACCATCCTCGTCCCGATCGAACGCGTTGAACACGTCATACGGCAGGCAGCTAAGCAGGTCAATGATGAACCACGACTTCAGGTAGTTCATTCGGATCACTTTGGGGTCGCTGACCACCTCGCCGCCAGGACCCACGAACGTTGTGTGGAAGTTTAAGACTAATGGTGGAAATATAATTATATTAATACACTCATGTAAATATATGTGTGCATTTGCCTTACCAATATCTATAAAGAATATAACATCGACTATCGAATCCACCACGAGCAGGGAAACATCCTCTGAGGTTTTATTTTTAAACGCTACATTGTATGGCACCTGCAAAAGAGATAGGAGAGGATATAAGCTTATTATTTTAAATATTTAAATATTTAATATTAAATTTAATTAATTTTTCCGAGTTTTGGAATGTGTAATACGAGATGTCTCCCCCAAGTTAAAGGCAGCAGTCAACTGTCAGTCAGATCATTACTTTTCCTGATGCGGTTTATCCAAAAATTCTTGAGTTTCCTCTCTCTCTCTCTTGAAAATTCAAAAATCTCACCTAAGTCCCGTCCCGGCTCCAGGTGGCATCCATTTACCAAGCGTTCAGCAACAGTTGGCTTGCCCGCCCAACAAATTCGCATTCATTCTGTGTGCTGTGTTGTCTTAACTGTTGCCCCAAGTGGCAGTTACAAGCCTCTTAACATGGCTCGTCTTGGCCCCAGCCCGGCCCGGCCCGGCCCGAGGTTGGATTACAAGCCACGAATGCTGCGCTGTCAGTCTCTGTTCTCGTCCTCGTCGTCCTCGACAGGACCTCCCCCAACTGAGCATATTAATTTGAGCACATAAAACATAAGCCGTCCTCTCTACCAAAAGGATGGTTGGGGCGGGGGCCAATGTCTGAGCAGCCACTTGGTCATGTAAATGTGTGCACTTGTCTGTCTCCAGTCCCAGTTCCACCACTCCCAGCTCCGGGCTCAGCTCAGCCGCTCCTCAGTCGCTTTGTCTGCTGCGAATCAACATTAATGTCTGACAGAGGGTCGTTATCTGGATTCCCCACTTGAGCCCGAGACGGAGACGGAGACGGAGACGGAGAGGGTGAACGAGTCCTTTCCGATCCGATTCGAAGGTGTATTTGGCTAATTAGAGGCTTTGGCATGCACCTTTAACCTGGGCCAAGTGAAAGTGATATATGTATGTGGATGAGGCAGGAGGCCGTATGCTTTTCGAAAACAAATGGCCCAAAACTTTGCTCTTTAAAATCTTAAATTGTTTAGAGTAAGTCCTTTAAGATGAGCTTTTTTGTTAAGATATATCGATATACAAATACTGTATTGATATTTGTTGCAAAGCTCGATATATAAATCGATTATTTAACGTTGCGTTAAGTTCATAGCAGTTGGACTGATAAACCAATATTAAAAATCAAGCTTTAAAGATATTTAAAATGTAATCTCTATGCAGATAAATAAATTAAACACCATTTTTATGAAAATTGGTCGATTATATTTAAATTAAGACAAGATTTATCGATATACCTTCACTGTACTGATTACTGATATATAAATTAATATCAAAAATAAAGTTTTAAAGACTTTTAAAATCGTTAAATAAACACAAATAAATTAAACGAATTTTAAATAAAAAATGTTTGATAAATATTATATATGGTACTATATATCATTATTATATTGAAATTTTAACGTAAAAGTCGATTATTTATCGATGTCTTTAATTTCAAACTACGACATTTTCCACTTATAATTGGACTTCTATCGATAGAAATTTCTAGTTTGAACATCTCTTGCGTAAAAGGATTTATAAACTAATTTTTTTTCAAATTTATATACATAACAGTTTAAATCGCATATGGTACATCTTAAAACACCAATTAATTATAATAAATCACAGGCATCTGATGTTGATTGCTATGAACGTACTAACTTCCGGCAGACATTTATTACCCTTTGACCTGGTTCCAAATATAACCTATCTCCTTCGCATTTTTATCCAGAGTGAGATCAGAGACAGACAAAGTTTTGATTTGTTGCTGGCCATACATTTATCCCAAAGTTGCTGTTGCGACAGCCACAAAAACCCAAAAACCAAACAACAAACCAACAAACAAATGCCGCAAAATGTCATTAAACAATAAGCAAACGAAAACTGTTGGAACAAGAAAGTGCAACTTTTGCCTGCAAATAGTACGTACGACATAGTACTTTGTGTAGGGTCGGGATGGGTTTGGGTCTGGCGCTGAGCAACCCCAATCTTTAGCCCCTTTAGAAACGCACATGTGTGCGGAGGATAGGAGAATGTATGTACATACCATACATAGATGTTGAGCGCAATTTAAGCGAAAATGTTAACATCTTGTTGACGGAAATAGACACAATTCAAGCAGACAAGCGACATCGGCTTATGAAAAGGCGTCGCATGCGGCTTTGTGGCAATTTGGATGCGGTAGATAGGTAGGGGAATGTGGCAGGTGGCAGGTGGCAGATGCCCCTAAATAATCCCAACCCACAACCCACATCCTAGGCCATGTCAAAAAGTACATATGTTCAAATCGTTGTCAGACAAGAATAAAAAGGCAAATGAATGCTACACAGCATAAATCAGCCTCAGCAGGTATATAAATATATAAACGAGCCATAAAAAAATAGTAAATATAAACAAAAAGGATTAATATTCAAGCTTTCTACTCACCATGATGGCTGTATAAAATGTTAAACACAATATCACCCAGTCCCAAATTGCTTTAAATGCACAATAATGCAGGAGTATGTGTGGCGGCGTTTTGGGTGCTTCCTGCCGATACTGTGGCATGATATCCGCGCTCAGCGACATCATCTGCAAATATATATATATATATATATCAATATATATCTAGGTAGATGGAGAAATCAAACTCACATGCGCCAGGTTGGACTGCTTCGTGGGATCCTTCAGCGTGGGCAGATGGGCGCTGAACTGGCGACTCCGCGTCACCGATCGTGCCAACTTGGCGAACTTCGAGAGACCTAAAACTGGCAAAAATAGATTAACCGCTACGAGGATGCAACACGCACACAGGACAGACACACACACAGAGGTGTATAAAGACAGGAGAACAAAGATATACAGATATATAGATATATAGAATATAGACATTAGACATGAGTGGTATTTATTTATACAGCGTGTTTATGTTGTTGGCACATCGAATTGCGTTGGTTTTGGTTTCGGTTTCGGTTTCGGTTTCGATTTCAATTGGTTTCATTTTGTTTTCGGTCAGTTTTTGTTGGTTTTCAATTTGTTGAAGCGTATATTTACAGGTGTGCGAGTATCGATTGAGTGTGTGTGTGTGTGTGCAATGGTTGTGTGTGTGTGTGTGTGTGTAGACATGGAAAAGAGAAAGAGAAAGTGTAGTAGGTTGGCAAGAGACAGGGTTACAGGTGCAGAAATTCATTTAGAGCACGGTTCTGACAGGACTCAACCAAATTTGCTTTGATTTTTGCATAAAAAATATTTAAAAATCTTTTAAAATGATTTTATTTTATTTAACAATTATTTTTTTTAACCTAACAACCGTGCTCCATGAGACGAAAAAAATAACATAATATAGATTGAGCTCCCTTACCTCCCTTGGTGTCCTCGCTGTCGATGGGTTGCTTCAGGGCCGTTATGTCCCGGAAGGTCAGCAGGAAGAGGACGACCAGGTCCCGTTCGTTGCGGATCGGGGCCACCTGCAGCAGCAGCCATAGCGGGGTTTCTGCGTTGAAAAAACGAAGCGGAATTAATAACAATTACGAGTGTATATAGGTAAGAACGCCAGATAACGGGGGCTCCACAGTCGAGTGAGCTGCACAAACGATAGATAATCCCCATTCGCATTCAGGTCACGACCAACCGAGGGATATACACTGAGGAAACGAGGGGTAAGGATATATGACTAGTATATTATTTTTGGCTTAACGAAATTTCCTTTATAAAAATGTCTGAAGTGTTTTAAATGTATGTTCTTAAATTTCCCTGAAATAAAAGGTTAATTACTGAAAGTAAAATCCTTGATAGCGTTATGACACTGCCTGTCTGCTTTTATTATTTGTAATATTTGTTCTCACATTTTTATTATTAGTGGTAAGAACAAACATTTAACACTTTTAATGAGCAATGATTATTAAAAATTCCTTAAATTTCCGTTTATTATAAAAAAATGTGTGACCATACAACAATGTTATGTTAGAACAGCCCAAATAAAGCTTTTAGAAACTGAAATTCCTGATACTCTTAAGTTTTTGCTTGTGTCATTATTTTATTATTATTTAAAAATCTACAACGCAGGAAACCTCTTACTTTTAAAATAGTTTTTAATGAATATTCAAAAATAAATGTGACCTTACAATAAAATAATGCCATAAAACCAAAATTCCAGGTGCTTCTACATGTTTCTTTGTGTTGTTATTTTCTATTTAAAAAAAAAAACCTACACGGCGAGTGATCTTCTTAGTTTAAAAATAGTTTTAAATAAATGTTCAAATATTAAATGTGACCGTACAGCAATTTCGTGTCATAACACCCTTTAAGTTAAAACCCTACCACCTGAATATTTTTTTCTTGCTGTTGAATTTTTCATTGTTTTTTGCCATTTCTGTATTAGCTTTTAAAATACAATTTTAATTCCCCTTGATTAAAATATTATTTTCGGTGGAGAAACATAAGAAGCGCAAAGAGAGGGGGGCAGCAAACATTTCATTGGATTGCAATTATTGATATGGAACGCTGGATAATGGCTGCTGGATGCTCGGATACTCCGCTTCTGGATTCTGCTGGGTCCAGACAATGCCAGATGTATATTACGCATGTGTGTGAATGTGCGCATACAGTGCGCTCCATATGTATGCAACAGCCAAAGCTGTTTACTCTCGAATCTCCCTTTGTCTGACCGGATGAATAATTCAATGAGTATCCGATGGCAGCGGCGGCGGCAATCAAAGTGTTTTGCCATGGAAATCGAGGCATTTAAGTCGAACTAACATTAAGTAGGTAAAAGTAGATAAACTGCATTTATTATATGGCTAATAGGGAAAGAAAATTGATTGGCAACAACTACTATTCTCTATTGGTTTGAAGTCCCCTAACGAGCTGTGTCTAAGAGTAGACTGAAAGAGCTCAAGATTTGTGTCTTATGAAGTTCTTGTATTTGTTTTTAAAATAATAATAAAATAGCCTGCTTTGTGGGGCTCAACAGAGAGAATCAAGAGGAGGCAATTGCCTCCTTCAATTATGACTCCCTTGCTGTGTAAACAATCACCTGGCGTTAATTGCCAAACACTCTGGGTAATATGAGCCTTTAACTGTGACTTGACTGTATTAATTGCATTTCAATTTTCACGGGTCAAGGACTCTCTTTCCCTTCCTGGGAGTGTGTGTTTGTGGATTTGACGGCATAATTATGCACTAATTACAGGCACAATTTGCTGCTTCCGTTTCCGGTTGATTGTTTGTTGTTTGTGCACGGTTATTGTTGCTTCTCCCACTGTTCTATATATATGTATTTATCTCAATATTGATTCAAATTGCAGAGATTTATTATTAAATATCCACGGTAGAGAGATGCTAGCTACCTGTCAGCACAATTTCCCAAAGATTTGGCTTTTGTTTTCAATTCAGCAAGCGGAGGTCGCTATTTTCATCCTTGGCTGGAATCCAATCAAAGTGAATTCCAACCGCTGGCCAAGTGCAATTTTCAATCGAGTTGCGCCGCAGCCCAGCGCAGCTGTTCGCTTTTCCTCACCCTGCCTCACTCTCATATTGCAATTGATTTATGCTTATTTAATGCACCACCCCCTGATGCCACGATGCCATGATGCACTTTTCCCATTTCCCATTTCCCCCATTTCCCGGAATTCTCATCCTCTGACCACACATGCAACAGGAAGTACGAATATTGCTGCGGGCAGGCTGCCAGGATTCTAAATTGAGATGTCCAGCTCGGTTTCTCTCTCTCTCTCTCTCACTCTGGCATTTTGAGTGGGCGGGTATTATCCTAAATTTGTGGTTACAGCCAAGGAATAATCTGTTTTTCATGTCTTTTAATTCATAGCCACAAGTTTTGTTTAAGTTTTCTAAATATATTTGTGAGGTTCCTAAGATAAAATTCATTTCAAAAGGACTGTGAGGTCTGATTCATCCTTGAATAACTCTTCCTAGGATCTTAATTCTTGGCTGATCTGCTTATTTTTTACTGAAAAGCTTACTTCACACCACAATTACCTTGGGTTTGTGCCTTGCCAAACTGCGAGAGGGCGCAGCCACATTGCAAATCTGGAAAATTGATACTCGAAGGCGTTAATTTATAAACTGGCCAAAAAGGCGATACTCTAGCGGTACTCTGGCAATACTCTAGTGACACTCTAGCGATACTCTGGCAATACTCTCGGGGCGAAACTCCCCTTTGATTTGGCTTTGATTGTAGGGTTCTAGCATTACAGGTGCCAGGATTGTGATCCTGGTTTTGGTTCTGATTTTGATTCTGATTGATGGGCAGATACTCAAAATGCCGACAGGCTGCCATCGCACCCCAATTTGTTGGCATTACGTGGAAAGGGGATGATGGAATGGGGGGAATGGGTAAACAAACAGGAGAGGAAAAGGAACAGAGGGAAGGGTCAGGGACTTGGACCTGTGCTAGAGTTTGGGCTATGAATTATGAAGGGTTCGTAGAGGAGTCAGAAGGAGTCTACGAAATGAACAATTTACGATGGGCACAGCTCAAGCATAAAAGCAACTAAGCCACTATGGCGGTCAAGATATCAGTGATCCATCAAAATTATATAATATATATATATATTTATACCTAAACAATTAAACCCTATTTTGTTTAAATTGCAATTCAAAATGAAATGAGTTACCCAAGGTTTATAAACCTCAAATGCTTTCGATTTTTGGAAGTTCTACTCCCACTCTAACCACAACTGTGAGCCACCTGGTGAGAGGGGCCAAATCAAGTAAGTAATCAAGCAGCAAAGGGGGGAAAATGACGTTGATTTGGGTTCAGCAAAAGCAACAGCAGCAGTATCAGGACCAACTACTTGCCATTAGGAGGACCCATGGCACAGGCAATTTAACACAGCGAGTCGGGCGGGGGTCAAAGGGGAATAGGAGGATTTGCTGTGTGTATTTGTGTTTGATACTCACTGTTCTTCTTGTAGAGCAAAATCTCAAACTGATCCTGCTGCTGGTTCTCCAGCGTGTACTCCAGCCTTCCCACGGTCTCCTTGTCTGTCAGCTCGCCATACATGAAGCCGCATCTGCAGGTTGTTCCAAGGATGAGGAGGATGCCATGCCAGGTTGCCAGATATATAGAAATGCAAAGAGAGAGGTGGAGAGCAAACGAGGTATTATTCTTGGTTAGCTTTAGGTCGGTTGCATGCCACACAGGCACAGACACAGGCACAGGCACGGGCACAGGCACGGAAAATGCAACGGAAAAATAGAAGGAAAAAACAAACAGAAGCCTTCGATGCCGGGGAAAAAATCATGCTGAACAAAACAAGATTGATGCACCTGGGCAGGGCATCTGCGGAAAATGCCGACTTGCTTCACTTGCTCCACAGAATAAAATATAGTAAACAAATATCAATTTAATGCTCTGCCGCTCAATGGAATCCATGCACTTCCTTCGGGCCAAAATAAGCTTTTGTTTTGTTCAGCAAGAAACCATATTTCTGGGTCACAGGGCACTTCGTAAATATCTTAATGGACGCAATCACTTAAAACATAACTAGGCAGTTACACATTCTATATATATGTCAGGGATGGGGGGTCAATGTTATCGGCCATGGTAGTTTCCTTTTCTTTTCTAAGCGCAGTGAGTCGCAATGACTAAGTAGTTCGTCCGCTTTCCTTCACAGTCTCGCTCGAACTGACTTGCACTTTTCCCTTTCTCTACTTTCTCGTCCTTCTCTACTCGTCATTGCGCCACACTCGGTAGGGAATACTCTCTTTTTCCCCACCACGCTCTTTCTTAATAAGTTCTCTTCCTATTCTCTCGTTGTTACTTATTTTACTCTTCCTTTATTTCCATATTCGATACACTTGGAGACTTACAAATAGTAATTACAACTGACATTTCAGGGTAATCTCCGACACGGCCTTCCTGACTATAACACGACCTCGTGTTGCTTAGTTCTACATAAAATTGGCCTCAACCTTCATTGCCATAACTTCGCAATAATCATCACTTAGCTTCTTTACTCATACTGCTCTACATAACTCTTCAATATCAATTAGCTTACACTGCTAGTGTCTTCAAACGTTGGTTTGGCGGGATAATCTTTTACGACAATAGAGTACACGCTCTCTTCCGCACAAACCCAACAGTTTGGATATCAATTTTGCATTCCATCAGACATTAACTTAGCAGGATATTCCTTAACACACCGTTTAGAGTACACGCTCTCTTCCGCTCAAGTTCAATCGTCTGGCTACCACTGTACCAAACTCTTGCCAGGCTCTTGCTGCACACTTTGCAACGCTCACACGCACCTTTTGCGTCACGGTCTCTCTGGACCCTCATAGCCTTATATTCCACCAACGAGTGCCTCAATCGGCGATCTCTCGCTTACACTTCCAGTGTCTTCAAATGTTAGTTTGGCGGGATAATCTTTCACGACCATAGAGTACATGCTCTCTTCCGCACAAACCCAACAGTTTGGATATCCATCAGACATTAACTTAGCAGGCTATTCCTTAACACATCAATTAGAGTGCACGCTCTCTTCTGCTCAAGTTCAATCGTCTGGCTACCACACACACATACCACAGTACCGGACTCTTGCCGCACCTTAGCGACGCTTCACACAATCATTCAAATTTAGTCCCTGTGTATGGCACTACCTCAACCATCTTAAAATACAGATCTCTTGCTTTGATTTTATGGTACCTACGAGTGCCTCAGTCGGCGATCTCTCGCATTCATCTGCATCTACCTCAACAGGCATCGCAGGCAACTACTTAAAATTTCGCTTACTCGACAAATATCTCAAAACATATCGGCCACCATCAAGCTTTTCTATAATGACAAAGGGTCCTCTTCGGATCCAGCTCTGTTTGGTGCCGTTCTTCATCTTAATTTTCCATCTTCATTCCTTTATCCTTTTTTTTCTTTCCTTTCTCATTCTTAACAGCTCTTCCATTTTAAATTCATCTTGCCTTTAATCTTAGTGCTCTTCCTTTTGCACCATTTTACCGACAGCTCAGCATAACACAACTTTAAACTTTTCTTTGTCTATACTTTTCTCTGTCATGTGGTGGTATCAAGCCCAGAGGATGGGTCCGATTGGCATCTCTTAAGGACTTGCATTGATTGCACTACTAACTGTGCAGTTCGCCGCAAGTTGCACCCCGCCAAGAGCATCTTGCCATCACCTCTGCGGTCCTGGTATCCAGCCAGATGACTACTTTAGAGCTTTACACATTATACAACTTTCAACAATCTTTAAACTTAGTCATTTCCAACAACATTGATAAATCTTGCTGAGTCTATTTTTTTTTTTTTTTTTAACCCAAATACATAACGGATTTATAACTTTGATTAATAATCAACCAACAAAATTTAAGGGACACTACTGGCAGACAACACTACCTCACACCTCTCTGTATTTTTTTTTAAAACCCCTCTTTGTAACTCAATTTAATTTCAATTATCTTTAGTTGTTTATAAACTATATCAATAAATCCTGAAATCAGTCACGTGAATTCTGGACACAAAAATAAATCCACATACTATATTTTAAAATCATACGATTTTAAGTATGGCCACCGATGATGCACTTAATTTCAATTATTTCCGCAATGATTACATTTGCAGTCAGTATAGACTACGAACTCTCATCTGAGCAAATAATGCCAAAAATGTTAGAATAATAGTACGCCAACCAATGTTTCCAATTCATATGAAAGCTACTTGGACTCCACAAGACACATAGTTCTACCAATATACTGCACCAACATAAGGGTCTCCATTAATTAATTAATTATTAGTATTGAAACATATCCACAAGAGCTTACACCTGTCAACTAAATAACGATTACAGGCTCACTTGTAATAGCACTAAAAGACGTTCGTTGTAATTTCTGAAAATCGTAATTTCACGTAAAAGTACTTGAAGTTAATGAATCGGTTTCCCAATTTGAGAAAATCGAGACAAAAATTTTTAAAAATAAGACGCCAATTCAATAAATGGTCTTACGCCTAATTACACCGATTGAAAGGACAAATTTTTAACGTAAGAATTTTCTAGGAATTGGGTCTGATTTCTCTACCGCGTAGCTCATAGCCCAGACACTGCGTAGTAGGTTCGAGAAACCCATATTTGGCAACGTTAAATGAAAACCCTGGTACAGTCAACATATAATACAATTTTCAGTCCTCGGGAAGCCTAATCTTCCGAGCCTGCCATGACCAACACGTCATCCATGCAAACCATCGCAAACAATTATGCTAAACCCCAAATGCTTTAACAATTTCATCATAAATATAGGAGACGCATTCTTCAGTTCAAGCTGCACTGCTAAAGATTCATATTGACCCTCCGTGGTCACAAACGCAGTTCTTTCTATCGAATCTGAAATCAATGGCAAGGGACATCTATCAGATACTGTATTTGTGTGTAGTTCTTTATAATCAATGCACAATCTCTCACTACCATCCTTTTTTTTTTTTTTTATTTATAGTTTTTTTGTAACCATTAACATTGGGCAAGCGAAAGGAGAACAACTAGGTCTTATTAATTTTGCTTCCAACATTTGCTGAATTTTCTCCCTTACTATTAGCTTCTCGTTCTCACTAAAGCGATACATCGTCTCTGAACCGTTTTATTTATGTTTTATTTATTTACAGTTTGAGTTCTATAAATATCGAATTTGTTACTTTGTAAAGTAACTCCAAAACCACGTTGAAAAATATCTTGTCCAAATATCATGTCATATTTAAGGCAATTTTCATCAACTACGTGAAACAACAATTCAAATTTAAATCCTGAAATTTGTACGGTGGACAGAATTTGCTTATTGCTTTTGACAACATTGTCACCTATGCCTCTCAACACTACCAGATTATGGAATCTCTTTCCGGCAAGGTTCTCGCTGATGCTTTCTTTCACCAACGAGCATTCGGAACCCGAATCGAAGAAAAATGGAAACCGCTCACCAGATTGTATTGCAGTTTCCTTAGGCTGAAGTACCGCACACATGTCCACTCTCTTCTCGATGTTTATATTCGCTGTTGCTGTCCCCTTAGTACACACTGATGCAATGTGACCAATGTTGCCACACCTATAACATCTCACGGCTTGTCTGCTGTTGCTAAGGGCTGTTCTCGTCTCATTTCTTTCCTCTGCTTTTCTCTTGCGGCACTCCATTGCTTTGTGTCCAAGTTTTCCACAACTATGGCATTTTATCGGCGTTTGCGTCTTGAACCTCTTCTTTTCCGGGCCTTGCTCCACTCCAGAGTATTCAGATTTTTTTGCGAACGTATGAGCTTTCAGTTGTTGTTGTAGCTCCGCACGTGTTTTTAGATTTGTTGTAAACACTAATCTCTGCAGTCTGGAATCAATTTGGGATGTATGAGCTAGGACCAACGATACAGCAATTTCTTCGTGCGTCATTCCTTTCCACTTGGTCAAGAGTGATGTAACCAACCGGCTGGAGTACACGGAGAGGCATTCTTCAGGATTTGGGCTTCCCTTCAGCATGTCTAGCAACAATGCTGCAGGCGTCTCGTTGCCTTCGTAGCGTTCCATGAACAATTCCTTAAATTGTGTCCAGCTCATCCCAGGGTAGCAAATTTGCGACAGCCACTGCGATGCGCTACCGTGAAGCGACTTGCTGAGCGTCATTACCAAGGATGCACCTTCTTGCGGATGTTCAGATAAAATCAGGTTCGCCGTTTTGCACCATGCTGCTGCGTCTGCGTCGGCAGCTTCAGGGTCGAAAGATGGTAGCACTGCAGAAAAGGCACGTGCGCCAGGCGTCGACGTGGACTGTGCAGCTTTCAAAAGTTCTGCAATCACTTTGCTTTGCGCTTCCAGAAGTGTGCGCCAGCCATTATCCGGGTTGTCTTGTAGGGGTGGTGATCCCACTTCTGATGTCAGGGATGGGGGGTCAATGTTATCGGCCATGGTAGTTTCCTTTTCTTTTCTAAGCGCAGTGAGTCGCAATGACTAAGTAGTTCGTCCGCTTTCCTTCACAGTCTCGCTCGAACTGACTTGCACTTTTCCCTTTCTCTACTTTCTCGTCCTTCTCTACTCGTCATTGCGCCACACTCGGTAGGGAATACTCTCTTTTTCCCCACCACGCTCTTTCTTAATAAGTTCTCTTCCTATTCTCTCGTTGTTACTTATTTTACTCTTCCTTTATTTCCATATTCGATACACTTGGAGACTTACAAATAGTAATTACAACTGACATTTCAGGGTAATCTCCGACATATACATACCTATACCTAGTTGATATTTTTCATAATAACCATTGATAACCATTAAACGATACTAATACAAGTTTTTACCTAAAATTTTAAATTTAAAAGTAACTAACTAACTAATTTTTAGGGTAAGTAACTATGTAATAGCACAAACAAATCCACAAGGAAAGTAACTATGAACACTAGACACTTGCTACATCTGTAAGAGCTCTGTGCCCTGTGAGAGTATACCATAAGCTTTCCGGCTTCCACCGATCCGCAAACAAATCTACAATTCCTAATTCTTAATTCCTGTAAGTACACTTGCACAAAAGGAAGAAAAAACCTCAAAGAGTTGGCCAACAGCCGTCGCTTAGAACCAGTTGGGAATTACCATATATGTGCACACGTGTGAGATTTTTCGAATTTTACATTTTTAGGGCGTATTTGCCATGGTTTTTACAAAAAAACATATACTAGTAAAACAAAATAATTCGCATTTGAATAAATTAAATAATTACTCTTTAGGAATTCTACATTTTAAAACCAAATTTACCTTGGGAAGACAGAAAATAGCGATATATTGATACTGTATTTAAAGTGAATGTCGAAATATTACTGATATATTATTGATATATTTAAAATTACGATATATCACACTTTACGTTATATTATTAAGCATGTTATTTTTGTCAATAAAACAGGCTCTTTCTCTGGATTTATGGAACTTCTCTTATTCAGCTAGTAAATACGCAACCCATTTATGCTATATATCACATAAAATATTCACATAACATTTTATACTCTTATAACTGCATTTTTAATGTTTAAATTTATATGTTTATTCCCTTAAAATGACATTAAAATTCCTTTTAAATGAATTTCATTTGCGGCCAGGGCCAGACAGTTTTAGTTGTGAATATATGTATGATATATATATATATATATGATGCACGTTGCATACCAATGCTTGGCTTTACCGGGAATTCCGAAACTAGGGCCCCCTTGCTGTTATATTTTTTTGATATTTGATATTTGTGTGTGCGGAAAAACTCTCATCGCACAGCGTGAAATAGTCACCGCCTGCCTGTGTATTATTTTTCAATTCAATTAATTCATATACATATAACCAGCATTTCACTTGTGGGTATGCCCTTATATATAGTATATATTTTCGAAAGGCAAACTTATGAATATTTAATAATTGAATAATTCAATTTTGGTTTAAAAATAACAAAAAAAAAATACAGCAGCAGGGAAAACTTTTCGGGCGGGCCAAGGGGCAAATTACTTGGAAAAGTCGAAAAAGAGGCGGTGGAAATTTTCGAATCGGGGCAAGTTGCAGTGGCAAGCGAAAAGCAACAACAAAAAAGTGTTGCATACTTGCAGGCTAGGCGCGATGACGTCAGCAGTGTGAAACGAGAACGAAAACGAAAACGAAGGATACACGAGGGGAGAAGCAGGAGCAGGAGCAGGAGCAGGAGCAAAAGCAGGACCAGGACCAGGACGAGAAGGCGAAGGGCAGTGGTTAATTTCTGTTGTTTTGCTTTATTCCTGCCCTCACACAAAAGTTCAACAAACTATGTATGCTCCAGCGAATCGGCGACGTCACGGGCAGCGTGGTTATGTGTGTGTGCGTGTGCTCGCCGGGGAACAAAAAACGAAATTGGGTTACAAAGCAAACAACACAAAAAGCAGGTCCTGGATATATGTATGTAAGCTGTACATACATACATATGTAGATATGGATGCACAAAGTGTTTATGCGCTCACAGTGTGAGCACTCTCAGGAAGCACTCGAAATTCTATTAAGTTTCACAGGGTCCAAGGGAAACACCACTCGAAGGATGTGCACATATTCCTAAAGCTAGAGCTGGTTTAAGGGGGAGGGGTGGGGGATTTCAGCTAGTTGGGAACCTAATACGGAGTTTGTGGCTTCAATTCTTGTTATCTCGTGTGTATATGTATGTAGTATAAATATTTGTCAAATGAAACAATATCTTTCAAGGCCTACTTCACCAAGAAAAAGGTCTAATATCAAGAGCAACGTTTACCCAAAGAAAAGAAAGATATTGCTAGTTTTAATGAACAAATAAGTACCATATACGCGTATACGCAATATTTGAAACCAAACGCAATTGTAACATTACGTATGCGTAATATAATTTTTGAAAAAAATGTAAGTAAGTATTTTATGTATACTTTGTTTGGGCTCAAAATAAATATTTTATCTTCTCATTATAAGAAACAAGGATAATGTTACATTTTATGTTTAACTAGGCGTATACGTAATATTTAAAATCAATCCAATTTGTAATAATACGTATACGTAATTATGGAGAATTTTTAAAAGTGAACAAACAATTTTTCCATAAGAGAAGATTCGATTCTCCTGTTAAGAATTACTTGATGTTAGTCTTAGGAATATAAACGTTTAACTAGGCGTATACGAAATATTTGAAATTAACCAAAACTATGACATTAAGTTTACACAGCATTACTTTTTGTACAATATTTTTAAAAATTCACATTACGAGTACTTTCGACTGCTAATAATATCTATACATCTATACATATCTAATATCTATAAAGTTAATTTTTAGGAACAAATACGTTGACCTAGGCGTATACGCAACATTTGAAACCAATTAAAATGTAATATTATGTATACGTTATTTTTTGAGAATTCAAGAAATATAAAACCGATTGCCTAAAAGCAAAGTCGTCTTAAAGTTTTTCCTTTTGCTGATAATAAGTTAAGGAATATGAAAAGTGATTTTCGATCGAAAATAAAGCGATTCCTTGACTGCTTTTTACCCTCCCACTTTTCCATTTCCCTAACCATTTTCCCTTTAACCAATTCCGTTTTTTTTCTGCTACTTTTTGCTGGTCACTGTTTTCCTGCTGCCTTTGGCCATCATTCCTCTTTTTCTCCTATATATTCCCTATTCGCTTCTCACGCGACCACAGCAAAAACGGAGGGCACACAAAAAAAAAGAAAAAGAAATAAAAGAAGCAAACAAAAACAAAGACTACGACAGCGACAGAGACAGGGACAAAGGCAACAACAAAGTGGGTCACACCAACACGGATGATTGAGCGGATGAAAGAGGCAAATGTGTAGTGCCCTCACTCTCTAACTCGGCGAGGGAGATGGCTACAGAGGCCAGGGGCGGATCGCGAAAAAGTAGTTTTAGAAGGGGTTTACGCTAAAACAGATATAGATATACAAATGTATAGGATGCTTTTTAGGGGAGGACTCATAGGAAAAACATATATTACCATTTTTAATTGATGTCACAGCATTCTAACTTATTTTCAAGAGGCTCATACATGCTTGGACATGTTGATGTTAAAGTAAATTGAAATGTTTCATAATTTTTAGGCTCTCCCCTTTGACGCCTCCTGTGGTGGTGTGATGGCCCAGAAGAGCAGGGCACATCGCTAGCTAAACGGCAGATTGGCATTAAAAACTTGTATTTCTTCGGCTAGGGAATTGCCCACTGATGCTGCAGGTGAGTCGTGGTGGCTTTCGGGGTGGCTGCTCCATGGTAAAATGGAGTGCCTTCCTCCTTTTTTCTCTCTCTTTTTTTTTGCAGCTTCCAGCACTGTTTTTTCGGCCTGCAAATTACAAACAATTCTCGGGAGAATCATTGGATACGCTGGCCTCTGGGTCGCCGCTTGTTGATTTATGAGGCAGCCGGTGGGAGCGGAAGGGAGGAGGAGGAGGAGGCAGAGTTCTAGCCAAATTAAGGCAAACAAATGCAGTTAACACTTGTGCAGATGCTCTTGCTCACTCGCCCATCTATCAGCCGTCTCTTTCGCCATCAATTCACCAAAGGTTTGCATAGAATATTTATTTGGTCAGGACCGGAAGGCAATTTGAAACAGTGAAACAGAGTAACGGTGAATGGAATTGCAAACGCAGAACAGAAAATGGGGGGGGGAGAAACGGAGTAAATTAAATAAATTTTCGCTATAAAAATGAACTCTTTTAGTTATTATCCAAGGTATATTGCGATGATGACTATTAAATTATGTATTTATAAAATAAATAATTGTTTTCCCGTAAAAAAATGATTATCTTGTAAGATCAAGCTTCACGTTGTTCCATTCCATTATGCCAAATTGTTGACAGCCTTAAATGCGACCCAATGAAAATGGAACATATAGATAATAGAAATAATTTACAGCCCTGCCAGGATCTATTAATAATAATTATTATTATTTTCCATTTCCAATTGTTAAATTTAACATAAACATTATATAATTATGTCAGTATATTTGTAAAAAAAAAAAAAAAAACAGATAATAATAATCCTAGTAGGCCTTATCGAAATGAATGGAGTCTCATCTCTAGGTTTTTGACAAAAGGTCTTTCGTTCGTTTTGGGTTTTTCATTCAGTCTCCCGTGTTCGTCTAAAGCAGCTGTTTATGAAATAAGTAAAAATAGAAGAAAAGTTTCAGTGCAAATTAAAAAGTGAATAAAAAGGTATGGAAAAAAAAACGGAATATTCTAAATTTTTAGTGAAACGCGAGTGCTAATCGCCGCCTTGAACCTCACCTGGTAAGTGTTATTTGCTCTTTAATTCATTAAAACATACAAAATGTTGCAGTTCATTAAAAAAATATTAATATTTCCAATTTGTGTCTTGGACAATATTAAGAAAAAGGACAAGCTGCACTTCAGGTTTTCCTCCTTTGCTTACAAGTGTTTTTTATTTGTACTAATTTCCTGTCATTTATACCCCATATTATTTTATAAAAAAAAAATATGTATATATATAATGACAATGAAGCGAAAAGCGAACTTCTGATTATAAAAATAGAAGAAAAAAAATGCATTCTGTCTGTCAAATTAATTCCTTGTCATAAAAGAAAACATCTTCACCTCTGTCAATATCAATTGTCATAATTTAGTAAGAGAATTACATTATAACAAATTGCAAACTAATGTTTTCAGTTTTAACCTTGCTAACCTGGCAAGGAGCAACATCACCGTGGAATTATGAACACAACTGATTAACAAATCCTGATGACAAAAAACAATTGAACCTCGCGGCATACGGAAAATCCAGCTCCATTATAGGCGACACATCTTATACGCCAAAATCTCAAGTTTGTCCGCGTTAAACCTCGTGTTATAGTGAATGATCTGGCTGCTGAAGGACACTATTCTTTGCAGAATGGCCGCGGGCCCAAGAAGAACTACTAAAACTGCGGCAGTGTGGCGACATCCGTGGTCTCTGTGCCAGAAAGCGCCATCTGACAAGAATAGCGAATATTTTTCCGATTGGTCAGCACAGCAAATGCCAGGCAACGACTGATCTGCTTCCTAGCAAATCAATATATATAAATATATATGTATATATAATATCTTTTCGAATCGAAACGGACCTTCCATTAGTTTGGGGTATGTACGAATGACTACCTTGATGGCCATCGACACAAAGCCAGTGGGTTGCTTTCAGCGCAAGTCATCCACTGGTACTTGTTTTGTGAAAAATATATATAACATAAAATGTATATAAAATAATAAATATATATATGAAATATAATAAATATAACAAAAAAATTGGACAACGCCCAAGCCCAGGAAAACCAGAAGCAGCTATGTTCAATGCTTCAAGATAGGTATATCCATATTTGCTAATTTATTTATTTTATTTTTAATTAATTCGTTAATTAAAGGTTTATTTTGACCACACACATTAGGTGAAGAGAATAAATGGTCATCAGGATTACCAAAGGTCTCTAAAGCCTTGCCAAGCTATGGGTGAGTTCAGTTTGTACTTTGCTTAGTAGGATATTATATATATTTAGACTTATCCTTGAAAGTTATATATAAAAATATTTATTATTTTATTTATTTTAAGAAACTCTTCAAGAATCTTTCAAATTGTGAGCTTTGCCCTATCATTGACTAAACTCTGCATTGATATGTATGTATTATACTAGGCACAACCCATTTGTATTGGAAATAATGGACTACATCTTGATCTCACAAAAACATATATTCGTGGACAAGCTAGTAATTTTTTCCTGGGCTGGAACTAACCATCGGTAAGTTATTTCAATACTCCATGAAGTATTTCTTCTATTTCATTTCTATATCTCTTTTCTCATAAAGCTTCCTATATTAATCCACCAAGCCACCAAGGATGTCATACGGATACACGCCAAGCCAAATTATTTCCCCTCCCTTTCGGGACCAAGACTTGATAAAGTTAGCTAAGTCTGCTTAAAGTCTGCAGGACGGTCGTCAACTAGTCTTTGTTGTGGTGGCCAGGCACCGTGATCAGGTGGCCAGGCACCGTGATCATGGATGTCGCCACTTTGCCGCAGAGCTAGTACTTCTTCTTGGTCTCGCGGTCAGTTCAGCAAAGAAAAGTGTTCTACACTAATTAGATTATTGACAATGAAATGGGGCTAAACGCTGGCAAGATTCAAATTCCGGCGTATAAAATGAATCGCGTTTAGGACTAAACTTTCTTCAGGATCTGCTGAGGACATGCCTGGGCTCACATGGGATTTGTGGGAACATTTGTTCCAGTTGCCTTAAAGTTTTATCAAGATTTTTTAAGCTCTAAATAAATAAATGTAAGAATCGAACGATATTTTCCTTAAAACCTCCAAAAGTTATAAATAAGGGTGGATAATTGCCCTTATCTTTGGCCCAATCATACATACATATATCTCCATTGTGCGCAGCATACTTTGTGGCGTTTTCCCCCCACTCATTATGCGGGAACGGAAAGCGGAAGGTCCGTCCATTTGCATTAAGTTCGCTGAGCAGCAAAATGCATTAAGTTCGACAATGGTTTTTTAATGGCGCAGAAACAACAACAAAGCAAAACAAAGAGTGTGCAAATTAATTGGAAAAAGAAGAGGGGGAAAAATTACAAGAGGTGAAGAGAGTGAACAATAAATGAACTCCACATTCCAATGGCTGTAATGGCGTAAGCAGCTGCGGATAAGCCGTTAAGCAGATAAACACGGCAAAATGGCGGCGGGTCAGGTGCGTGAACAGCTGTTAATGGCAACGATGGGCGAGAGGGAGTGGAAGAGAAAGAGAAAGAGGAAGCTAGAGAGAGAGGCTAGTGACCAGCAGAAATCTCCGGCAATCTCGTAAAATCCTCTTAGCTGCCAAAGCACCGCTCCCCAAGGAAAAAGTCCTGGCTCTCGTTCTCATTCTCATTCTCATTCTCCCTCTCTTGCCGCCCACCTGTGTTACCTGTGCGATTAGGTAGCTTATCGTTTGAAAAAGCACTGCTCTAAAGCTAATATTTGCCTAAGAAATGAGCATGCAACTTTAAGGTGGCCAAAAATTAAATGAAAATTTGTTAGAAGTCTATGGAAACCTGAGAAGACATAAAAAGGATTTTAAAACAAGAATTGATAGGAAATTAAAAGAAACCAATAATTATGAAATAAGATTTATATACTTTAAAGACTACCCTCCATCTTAATTTTAACAATAAAGTGCAAAACAAAAGTCCTAAAAAATGCATTAAACTGGATATAATTTAACACAAATAATTTAAAATCTAAAAAAATAGAACATATCGACGCATTTTCGCGAAAGTATCGTATGTCGATAAATCCAATTTTACAGGAGAAGCTTTTTTGTGCTTTTATCTCTTAGGAAGCACTATAGAAAAGACAAAATTGAAACTGAATTTTTATCGGAACTATAGGGGTTTCAGTTATAATATTTCATAGGGTAGTGAGACATTAGGTGACTAACAATTTTGCATTAAAATCTCAATTTCGAAAAAAAGCGACATACGATACTTTCGCGAAAATGCGTCGATATGTAGGGGAAAATGTAGTAGGATAAACGTAAGGAAACCTTTACGGCAAGGTTCTTAAATTTATGTTAAATAAAAAAAGAAAAGAACTAGTTTTCACAAGCTCCACGATTCACATTTAATTAATCACAGGGAGAGGAGTCACAGAAAGAGTGTAAAGCCAATTAAAATTAAAATTAAAACTAAATTAAATCAAAGAGACAGAAAAAAGACACAGTACAACCACAGCAGTGACAGTTACAGTGGCTGAAACACTGACAGTGACAAATGTACACACTCTTGGCTTTTAACAAACCGAGGAGTGGCAAAAGAAAAGCCTTGACATCGAGACCACCGAATTGGAAATCAATTAAAAGAAACACACACACACACAATCAATTAAAAAAACACCAAGAATAACAACATCAACAACAGCGAGGACAGCTAGAATAGTTTTGGAGTGAGAAAAAATCGGCAATACGTACACATACCTGCACGACTTCTGCATGACCTCGGCCCGGTTATAGCCGCTGATCTTGCAGAAGGACTCATTGCAGTAGACGATCGGGAAATCGACAATTTGTGCGTTGGCCAAAAGGAATGAGCTGTCCGCTGAAAGTATAATAAATTTCAAAATTAATTATTAGATTACACAAAAATCAATATATTATATCATAAATTAAATATAAACACTCATACTATTCCTTACCTAAAATTGAGCTACTATAAGGGTAAGTAAAAATTTACTTAGTTTCAGAACCATTTTTCTTAAGAATAGTTTATGTATAATTTATTACCATTCATATCATAACCAGTCTATCCATAGTCCGCTCATCAGTAAGTATTATAAAATCCCTGGCTATATACACACATCAATCTGAACAATCAAATCATCGCTCTTCACGCTTTTATTTACATTTAACGCAATCAAAGTTCTGCATTAAAGCGATTTAAATTTTTAAAGGAAAGTATGGATTTTTTACACCACTTCACCATTATTTTCCCTTCACAATTGTCTGCGAAATGGCCAACGAAAGTCAGTCATTCGACTCAGTCCTCAGTTCCGTCAGTCTATTGGGATTTTGCCGTGGAAGTTTATCAAAATATTTGAGCGTAATTGGAACATTTCAAATGTTGTCATTCATAATCAAAATCGTTTTATTGGCTGCAACCCGCCCACTCGCTTTGTGAGCTGCTCTAGTTAGAGTTGGCAGTGACAGGTAAGGTACTTATTTATACTTGAAAAGGTACATTTCAAGTCCTGCAAAGGGTACTCAGGAAGGGTAAAAGGTAGATGTGTAAAAAAAGGTATAACATTTAGAGAATGAATTAGACAAAGTAAAAGTAACATTAACTTAGAAAAAATTAGCTGCACTGTAAATGTCAGAAGATAACAGATAAGATAAGCACAAGTTAAATTATTTTTAAAGGTACAAGGCAAGTTGCACAAAATGTACTCCTGGTTAAGAAACCCAAGATAGAAAGTTGCAAGACAATTTGCACGAAAGGCACTCCCAAAAAAATATATGGTACACTAAAACACCCAAAACATAGGTACCCAAATGTAGACAACTACTTTCAGCTAAGTACCTAGGACTTCTCCCATCACCATCCCACTAATGGCGGTTGTTATTGCTAAATTTGTTGCCAGCTCAAAACTCGCAGTACGAGTTCGAATGGGAGTCCTCAGGTAAGCAGGTAACATGTGTAAACCACGCGCTGGCATCGCATGGCAGCGATACAGACATGGATACGGACACGGACACGGACACGGACAAAGGGACTCCCGGACATGCATATGGACGAAACGGACACAAACACGGACATGGCATCGCATCGGGTAACTGTAACTGGCATCGACCTGCTGGTGGGCATTCCATTCCCAACCCATGACCACCCACAACCAACCCATACCCACCCAATTCCCATCCACATATCCACCCCCTACCATTTCCACAACCCATCGCCGCCCTGCCCATTAAGGCTGACTGGTTGTTTTACTATTTATTTGCTGTTTGCCATTTGACTTGCTTTGTGTTGTGTTTCTTTTACTTTCAGGTGATTTTATTAGTGCCAAATTAGATCTTAATGATTTATAATTATTATCAACAAGTCTAAGCCTTCTTTAAGCTTATATACTATTTGTTAAAATGCTGAGATTTTTAAATGACATCCAAAGGTACACATCTGCTTACTCGTTGAAATCCGCGACTGTTACTTTTTATTGACATTATATGGGGTCTGCCATTGGAGGACTGGGATTACAGCTGGCTATGCAAATGTGGTATGCATGTCAGCTTTGGCCTGGAGTTGCATGTAGCAGGTGCCAGACAGAAGGAGGGGCAGGAACAGCAGGAGGTTGAATGAAGCCTGAGCCTGAGGCTGGGCAAGAGCCAGAGGAGCAGGAGCAAGAGCACACTAACCCACATTGACATGGACATGGCCAAGCCAATGAATATGTATAAAAATATTCGCATGCCATGGCTGGATGGTTGCTGGCTGCTGGCAAATGGGAAATGCATATTTATGTATATATATATTTATGTATATATATATATATGTACATATAAAGCACGAACGTTGAGAGCGCTTTTTACGACACCAGCCAGCAGGCAAGGACACTGGCAATAGCAACAACAGCGTTTCCTACTTTGTAGTGTCAACAGTTGCCGTGACTAAAAGGAGGAGGAGTGGGTGGGGTGCTCCTCCTCCTGTGGGGGCGAACGGCTATCTCGTTACGCTCTGCATATGGCCTGTTAGTAGTTGGAAAAATATAATACACGGAGGAAGGACGAAGAGCGATCGACGATGGACGAGCGAGGAGCGCAACCTCAGCATTTATGCACGGGCATTAGGGAGAACCTTTTTCCCTAAACTAACTCCCCTCTCTAAACTAATTTTCCCCCAAACTAATCTCTCTTTCTCTCTCTGAAAATAAACCAACCTCAACTTAATTAGCCAAAATGTTTACATTTTTTGAGCAGACCAACAAATTATAACTTTCCTGGATAATTCAACAAATATTACGCATACGTCAGGTTGGCCAACGTAATATATTTCTAGTATTCACATATTAAATTTATGTGTCTCAAGCTTTTTGAGAAAACTATGTAATATTATAATGCATAACACGGAGTTCACCACTTTATTAAAAAAATAGAATTTCTGTTAAAAATCTTACTAATAAATGGTATATTTTAAGTTCTAGAAGATTCAAGATTAAAGATTAAGATTTAAATTCTAAATAATCCAATCCTATAATTATAGATTCAATCATTTTTAGAGGCCAATAGGAAAGGTTTACAAATTTCCCAGTACCTAGAACAACATTTTCTAAGTGCTTTCTTTGGCCTCACATATTTCCTTTATATTTTAGATTTTAAATAAATAAAAAATATATTTTATAATAATTATAAAAATTAATTAAATTATCTTTATAATAGTTCTTTATAATAGTACACATCTAAGGTAATGGCCAGCCTAATCCTGGCCGGCTCTTCTTCTCTTGCATTTCTTTCTGAGGTGGCAAGCGGTCTGATTCTTTTATTTTTTTAAGCACAAAAAGGAGATGGGTTCTAGGCTCTATGTTATATGCTCTAGGCTCTGTTAGTGTGTTGTGCGGTGGCTGAGTGTCATGTGTGTGTGTGCTGCCCTGTGGCTCCCACACTTAATGGCATTCAAAGCTGGCCTGGACAAAGTTTTGCAATTTGCCTTGGCCATTTCTGTCCGGCCGCGATTTCTTTTTAAGCCGCGGATTGCTACCAGCTACCAGTTCGCAGCTCCCCCTAAGCCACCCCCTTGGAGCATCCGGCGGGAGCAGGCCTTAACCCGATTGCGGTGCCAAGTGGAGAGGCGGAGCAGGGAATGTGGGAAAAATGTCAACTGGCGGGTAAAAGCCTGGGATTGAGAGCACGGTTTCCCCCGAACCCAATCCAAACGGAACGGAACAGAACGAAACGGAACCAAATGAGATCAAAATGAATGTGCAATGTGTTGTGTCCTTCGAGGAGTGTCCTTTCAGAGGAGACACGCTTTGGCCTGGATGACAGGAGAAAGAGAGAACCTTTGTATATTTAAATTCACACTTGAAGCCTTAGCTTCTTAGCTTTGATTTACAGTTTATAGTTTTCTTAAGGCACTCGTGAAACTCTAAATTATTCATCTTCGGCTTTAATTTACCTTTTTTTTTTATGTTGAATACATTTCCCCACTTAAATTGATAACGATAACTAATAAAGCACTCAAAACGTCAAATCCAATAATAATAATATCGCAAGGAGATGAATATTTCATTGCTGATTGACAGCCAAGATGGACGGAGCAGCCCCTGATTGCCCAATTATTTATGAGCTCGATCAGGGATGATGTATTATAAATGTCAACATCAACACAGGAGGGGAAAAAGGAAGAGGAACAGGCTCAAAAAAACCAACCAAGATATGGAGATGGAGACGAAGACCCATGCTGAATTGCGATTTAATTAATGATTTTTTGATTTTTATTTGAAAGCCAAACAAAGGCAGAGGTGGAGTGGAGTGTAGCGAGGATTAAGGTCCTGCCGGTATCCCGTATCCCCGTATTGGGATTAGCTTTTCGGGTCTGACAACTCAACCTGAAATGTCAACAAGCCGAAACGGAAACAAAGCCATCGAAATTGGGCTTTTGGTTGGGTTCCAGTACCGACATTCCAGTTTCCCAGCTCCATTTTCCGGCAGGCGGTCCGTGTTTCCTCGATGATTGATGAGGAGGTGTTTTCCCACCCCCTCTCTCCCTTGGCCAATTAGCTGTGCAGCATTTACAGTTGTAAGTTGCCAAAAAAAAAAAAAAAAAAAAAAAAAAAAAGAGAGGGGGGAAATTCAAGTGGAAATGGAAATGGAAAAAAGAAAAGTTGGAGCCTTGTCGTTGATTGATTTGGATTTGTGCGGTCGACCGCAGTCCGAAAAAGAGTCCACCTAAGTGGATTTGCCGGAGGCCTTGACCGAGAGGGGTACTTTTTGGGGCATCGCTGAGCTAACCGCTCCTCCCCTCCGTGGGATATAACAAAACTAGTCCATTAACTAAATACACCCCCCGGAACAAACACACACAGAGGGAGAGAGTGTCGCACGCACACACACTGGCACACATGCAAATGCGGTTGCTATTTCGCAAAACTTTCATTTCCGCTTGGACGGCGCACAGTGGGGCAATATACTTATGAAAAAATGAATTGAATGAAAAAAATGAATTGAAAATGTTTATAATTTAGATAAAATTAAAAGAAACTGTTTAAACTATAATTAGTCAAGGAATTAAGTAATTCATTAAATTTAGGAATTAAAAAAAATAGCACGGACAGACAAATAAATAAATATTAAATAAAATCAAATTAATTTTAAAAAAACACTTGCATGCCACTATAATTCCCAACTAGTTCTAGCATCTTTCAAGTGGTAACCCAGCTGAATGTTAATGAAGGTAGTTTGTTGGTGTGATTGTGTGCTAGTGGTTATTCTTTCCTAAAAGAGCTGCTACTTGTGATAATGTATCCTATCTTTCTTTTATAGCTTAGTGCTACGGGCTTACTTGTTGTTTATTTTGTCAAGAGAGAGGAAGAGAGTGTGTTTGGCTCT